AACATGTAGATTTGAAATTTTATTTTTGATTGTGATGTCAGATTTGAATGTCGACTTCAGGAATGGGGGTTTACAATGATTATGTGGAAATATGATCCTATTTCAAAAAGAGGGCAACTCGGCAACTATTATTATATTAGTGCATGAACTACTTGCTAGAAACTGAATGTTTTTACCACAACTTTGTATGTTTCAACTGGGATATGTATATAATATAAACAAAAACATGTCTTTTTCAGGACTTCTGATCCATGTTTGGCATGTTGGTGGTTATTGGAAGGGTGGATGTTCATGACAGTCCTCTATTACAAAGTATATCACTGGATCGAGCTTTTTGTCCAAGTGTATTATTAAAGTGCTTTGCTTTGAACTCAGTTCATTGTTATGCAAATGCATTCTTTGTGAAATGAAGATTTGACAGACAACTCACATCTGCACATGATCTGCTGCAAGGTAATATGATTAAAACTGTCAGCAAAAGGAGTTGTACCGGTAATCCATTCAATGTTCCCATTTATGGGGAGATTAAATCATTTTATTTGCACTTGAGCCAAACATTTTTCTGTCCATAAGCCAAATAAAAAAAGCACTAATTTACCAAACAATGATACTCCTGCTACTAAAAATATGATGCTACTTGTAGGTGGTTTTGTAACACTTTTTTTAACATCTGTGCTGCCTGCTGATGAGTCCTGAGTGTAAAAGATCTTTCACTTACACATACCGGTAATGTTCCTTAGTATAAATTATATTTTTTATCCTTTTGTCCTTCAATCCTGTTCATACATGTATCTAAAAGAATTTTAATCAGTTTGTAGGAGTTATGAGCATCTGTATTGGAATCTTCCATATCTGGTATATTATTGTTACTATCAAACCATAATAATATATCTTTAATTTCCACATTTAAACAAAAAAATTTTACTAATGATACTGGGAAGATCCTGAACAAATTTTTAGTTTTTTTTGTGGACAAACCCAAGTAAGAAATGACCACCTCAAAGGAACATAAATAGAACCATACAAATATTACATGCATACTACAATCACATCATGCAGAAATGCACCTAATGTGGTCCTCCTCTATTTTTAAGTTTTTGCTGCTATCCCAAATCAAATTTTTAAACTTATTTTATTAGAATAATTTGGCAATCCTTCCAAATCTTTTGCTTCTTTACGTAAATCTCTCCAGCGTTGGAGCACACTCAGCTAGCTGTGTTCCTTTAACGGATCATTTATAAAAATGTTAATGTATTCACATAGAAGTTATTTCAAAGTTAAAATGTTGAAAATCCTCCAAATTGAATGTAACGTTGCACATTAACAAAATTTATTTACAGGAATGTACATATTATATACAGGAAGCAATCATAGCACGTTGGCCAATATGTAGATTTGATATTAAAAGCAATGTCTAGCTAAATAAAATCTATGATCGGTCAGCACTGATGTAATGTAGTGTCTCCTACATGACAGTCTTGATTGACCTGATAATGGTTTACTTTTACAAAGTGTGACTTGGATGGAGAGTTGTCTCATTGGCACTCGTAACAGATCTTCTTGTATATATTGAACAGTAAAACGCAATATTGAATATAAGACTGCTATTTTCAGTGTTTGGTACAGGTTGACTGTCACTGGGCACAACAGTTCAACATAGAACCCTATGGGGAAAACCAGAGAACTCTTTTGTCAAAAAACACTTTTAAACATCCAACTGACATACTATCCACACTGATCTGTGTCCACACTTGTTATAAATATAAAATAAATGTGGATAGTGTCCACATGTGGACACAGATGATGCCCCCGCTTGCATATCATATAGTTATAAAGGGACATAACTGAAGAACGGTAAAAGTGACACTACCAAAATTTGAACTTGAACTGAGTTTTGTGGTAATAAGCATTGTGTGTAAGTCTCATAACATTTGGTTGAGGCTAACTTAAGTAGAGAACAGTATCTAAAAATTCAGCAATTTTTCTATTTGTAAACACGCATAACTCTAGTACGGTTGTGTATAAGTTTTATAACATTTGGTTGAGACAAACAAAAAAATTCAGCAATTTTATTGTTTATAAAGGGACATAACTCAAGAATGGTAAAAGTGTCGCCACATAATTTTGTACTTATTCTGTATTATGTAGTAATAAGCATTGTGTATAAGTTTCATAACATTTGGTTGAGGCAAACTAAAGTTAGAAAACGGAAACAAAAAATTTGTACTTGATCTTAGTTTTGTGGTAATGAATATTGTGTATAGGTTTCATAATGTTTGGTTGTGGCAAACTTGAGTTACAGAATGGAAACTATAAAGTTTGCAATCTTTCGATTTATAAAGGGGCATAACTCAATAATGGTAATAAAGTGACACTACCCAAATTCAACTTGATCTGTGTTTTATCAGTGGAAGTCAAAATTAAACATTGCATTGTATAAAGCATTGATTGTAGTTGATTCAACTATAATCATGGACAAAGGAAGATAACTCCAATTTTAATAAAATGCTCCGCTGGGCGCAGCTTGATACGACCGCAGAGGTCGAACCCTGAACAGTTAGGGCAAGTATGGACACAACATTCAAGCTTGATACAGCTCTGAATTTGGATTGTGATTAAATATTTGACACAGCATAGGTTTCTGACACAGAATGAATGTGGTCTAAGAACTTAAAATTTTTTAATTTACCTATTATGGTCCAATATCCAAAATCTAAATACATGGTTAGATTCAGCATATCAAAGAATCCAAAGAATTCAATTTTTGATGAAATCAAACAAAGTTTAGTTTTGGACCCTTTTGACCTCAATGTGGACCAATTTGATAACGGGGCCCAAAAATCAAAATATATGGTTAGATTCAGCATATCAAAGAACCCAATATATTCAATTTTTGTTGAAATCAAACTAAGTTTAATTTTGGACCCTTTGGACCTTAATGTAGACCAATTTGAAAACTGGACCCAAAATTAAAAATCTAAATACATGGTTAGATTTGGCATATCAAAGAACCCCAATAATTCAATTTTTGATGAAATAATAAAACAAAGTTTAATTTTGGACCCTTTTGACCTCAATATGAACCAATTTGATAGCGGGGCCCACAAATAAAAAATCTAAATACATGGTTAGATTCAGCATATAAAATAACCCCATATATTCAATTTTTGTTGAAATCAAACAAAGTTTAATTTTGGACCCCAATTTGGACCAACTTGAAAACTGGGCCCGAAATCAAAAATCTAAATACATGTTTAGATTCAGCATATCAAAGAACCCCATATATTCAATTTTTGTTAAAATCAAACTAAGTTTAATTTTGGACCCTTTGGACCTTAATGTAGACCAATTTGAAAACTGGACCCAAAATTAAAAATCTAAATGCACGGTCAGATTTGGCATAACAAATAGATAAATGTGGTCAAAGATTTTACAAATCTAATGCGCCATACTGTGCAATTAAAGATTACTTCTTGAAATTTTTCAATATTTGAAATTTAAAAAAAAAAATAATATTTGAAGAATAATTCTTTTTAATTTCTGAAATCTGAAATGAGAAAAAATTGACCCCCCACAATTTTTTTTACCCCCCCCCCCCCTTTTTCCACACAAAAAATCATTCCCTCAAGATATGGTCATAATCTCAATTCAAATTTCCAATGGAATTTCCAACCATAATTACCCATTTAAATTTACCATAGTGCTAACTTAATCTATTTTATAATAGAATTTAAAATATGGTGTCAAATCTTTCATATGGATTTTTATGTAAAAAAAAAAAGATGCAATATTTGCAGATATTTTTACTGGTCTTCCTTTATAAATATGCATTTCTTTAAACATAATTTAAAAGCAGTGTAAGGGAAGTAATCAAAACGTTGTATGTGGATAACCTCCCTTACACTGTTTTAAATTGTCTTAATTGTTAATTAACCATTACTTTATACATAATTTAAAAGCAGTGTAAGGGAGGTAATTCAAATGATGTATTTGATTTATCTCCCTTACACTGCTTTAAATTATGTTTTGTACTAAAGTATTTGTCCATATAAAAATGCTTGTTTTTTGCCCCTTTTTTTGCCCCTAATTCCTTAAATTTTGAGGCAATTACCTCTAAAATCAATCCCAGCATTCCCTTTGTGATATGGAACCTTGTGGTACAATGTCAGAGAGATCCATACACTAACACACAAGTTATGCCTGGAAGTTACAAAAATGCTTATTTTTAGTCCCTTTTTGGCCCCTAATTCCTTAACTGTTGGTACCATAACCCCCAAAATCAATCCCAACCTTCCTTTTGATTGATTGTTGGTTGCTTAACGTCCAGTGGCAAATATTTCATGCATATTCAGGACGAACCTTCCTTTTGTGGTATTGAACCTTATGGTAAAATTTCATAGAGATCCATTCACTTAAACTAAAGTTAGAGTGCGAAAACCAATGTGTCTTCGAACGACGACGACAACGTCATACCAATATACGATCGCAAAATTTTTTTGCAGTCGTATAAAAATTTACGCATAATTATTAAATTTGACTTTAAAGGGCAATAACTCCTTATGGGGTCAATTGACCATATTGGTCATGTTGACTTATTTGTAGATCTTACTTTGCTGAACCATTATTGCTGTTTACTGTTTATCTCTATCTATAATAATATTCAAGATAACCAAAAACTGCAAAATTTCCTTAAAATTACTAATTCAGGGGCAGCAACCCAACAACGGGTTGTCTGATTCATCTGAAAATTTCAGGGCAGATAGATCTTTACCTGATGAACATTTTTACCCCCACATCAGATTTGTTTTAAATGCTTTAGTTTCAGAGATATAAGCCAAAAACTGAATTTTACCCCTATGTTCTATCTTTAGCCATGTCGGCCATTTTGGTTGGCAGGCGGGGTCATCGGACACATTTTTTAAACTTAATACCCTAGTGATGATTGTGGCTAAGTTTGGTTAAATTTGGCCCAGTAGTTTCAGAGAAGATTTTTGTAAAAGTTAACGGACGACAACGACGGATGATGGATGAGGGACGACAGGCGACTGACGCCAAGTGATGAGAAAAACTCACTTGGCCCTTTGGGCCAGGTGAGCTAAAAAGAAGTCCACTAAGGCTGACCTCACAACTGTAATTAATCCAGTGACATCATCTTTTATATGACTTTGCCAGTAGTCATAACTGCTAGATTTATTAATTCCTGGGACTACAGAATTATGGTCTGTATCAGTTACATAATGGTACAAATCTGGTACAGATATCATAAGAAGATCTCCTGAAATTAGAAATATTTTAATTACTTCTTCAATGAACACAAAATAATGTTCTGCTATGTAGGACACAAGTCTGTCTGAGACATATACATAGATGTTGTTTCTGCTATGTAGGACACGAGTCTGTCTGAGACATATACACAAGTGTCTGTTCTGCTATGTAGGACACAAGTCTGTCTGAGACATATACACAAGTGTCTGTTCTGCTATGTAGGACATGAGTCTGTCTGAGACATATACACAAGTGTTTGTTCTGCTATGTAGGACATGAGTCTGTCTGAGACATATACACAAGTGTCTGTTCTGCTATGTAGGACATGAGTCTGTCTGAGACATATACACAAGTGTCTGTTCTGCTATGTAGGACATGAGTCTGTCTGAGACATATACACAAGTGTCTGTTCTGCTATGTAGCACATGAGTCTGTCTGAGACATATACACAAGTGTCTGTTCTGCTATGTAGGACATGAGTCTGTCTGAGACATATATATAGATGTCGTTTCTGCTTTGAGGACATGAGTCTGTCTGAGACATAAACATAGATGTCGTTTCTGCTATATAGGACACAAGTCTGTCTGAGACATATACACAAGTGTCTGTTCTGCTATGTAGGACACAAGTCTGTCTGAGACATATACATAGATGTTGTTTCTGCTATGTAGGACATGAGTCTGTCTGAGACATATACATAGATGTTGTTTTTGCTATGTAGGACGCAGGTCTGTCTGAGACATATACATAGATGTTGTTTCTGCTATGTAGGACACAAGTCTGTCTGAGACATAAACATAGATGTTGTTTCTGCTATGTAGGACATGAGTCTGTCTGAGACATATACATAGATGTTGTTTCTGCTATGTAGGACGCGGGTCTGTCTGAGACATATACATAGATGTTGTTTCTGCTATGTAGGACACAAGTCTGTCTGAGACATATACATAGATGTTGTTTCGGCTATGTAGGACATGAGTCTGTCTGAGACATATACATAGATGCTGTTTCTGCTATGTAGGACGCGGGTATGTCTGAGACATATACATAGATGTTGTTTCTGCTATGTAGGACGCGGGTCTGTCTGAGACATATACATAGATGTTGTTTCTGCTATGTAGGACACAAGTCTGTCTGAGACATAAACATAGATGTTGTTTCTGCTATGTAGGACATGAGTCTGTCTGAGACATATACATAGATGTTGTTTCTGCTATGTAGGACGCGGGTCTGTCTGAGACATATACATAGATGTTGTTTCTGCAATGTAGGACACAAGTCTGTCTGAGACATATACATAGATGTTGTTTCTGCTATGTAGGACATGAGTCTGTCTGAGACATATACATAGATGTTGTTTCTGCTATGTAGGACGCGGGTATGTCTGAGACATATACATAGATGTTGTTTCTGCTATGTAGGACGCGGGTCTGTCTGAGACATATACATAGATGTCGCTCCTGCTATGTAGGACACAGGTCTGTCTGAGACATACACAAGTGTCTGTTCTGTTATGTAGGACACAAGTCTGTCTGAGACTTATTCACAAGTGTCTGTTCTGCTATGTAGGACACAAGTCTGTCTGAGACATATATACAAGTGTCTGTTCTGCTATGTAGGACACAAGTCTGTCTGAGACATATTCACAAGTGTCTGTTCTGCTATGTAGGACACAAGTCTGTCTGAGACATATACACAAGTGTCTGTTCTGCTATGTAGGACACAAGTCTGTCTGAGACATATATACAAGTGTCTGTTCTGCTATGTAGGACACAAGTCTGTCTGAGACATATACACAAGTGTCTGTTCTGCTATGTAGGACACAAGTCTGTCTGAGACATATACACAAGTGTCTGTTCTGCTATGTAGGACACAAGTCTGTCTGAGACATATACATAGATGTCGTTTCTGCTATGTAGGACACAAGTCTGTCTGAGACATATGCATAGATGTTGTTTCAGCTATGTAGGACATGAGTCTGTCTGAGACATATACATAGATGTTGTTTCTGCTATGTAGGATGAGGGTCTGTCTGAGACATATACATAGATGTTGTTTCTGCTATGTAGGACACAGTCTGTCTGAGACATATACATAGATGTTGTTTCTGCTATGTATGACACGGGTCTGTCTGAGACATTCACAAGTGTCTGTTCTGTTATGTAGGACACAAGTCTGTCTGAGACATATACACAAGTGTCTGTTCTGCTATGTAGGACACAAGTCTGTCTGAGACATATATACAAGTGTCTGTTCTGCTATGTAGGACACAAGTCTGTCTGAGACATATATACAAGTGTCTGTTCTGCTATGTAGGACACAAGTCTGTCTGAGACATATACACAAGTGTCTGTTCTGCTATGTAGGACACAAGTCTGTCTGAGACATATACACAAGTGTCTGTTCTGCTATGTAGGACACAAGTCTGTCTGAGACATATACACAAGTGTCTGTTCTGCTATGTAGGACACAAGTCTGTCTGAGACATATACATAGATGTCGTTTCTGCTATGTAGGACACAAGTCTGTCTGAGACATCTACATAGATGTCTGTTCTGCTATGTAGGACACAAGTCTGTCTGAGACATATACATAGATGTCGTTTCTGCTATGTAGGACACAAGTCTGTCTGAGACATCTACATAGATGTCTGTTCTGCTATGTAGGACACAAGTCTGTCTGAGACATATACACAAGTGTCTGTTCTGCTATGTAGGACACAAGTCTGTCTGAGACATATACACAAGTGTCTGTTCTGCTATGTAGGACACAAGTCTGTCTGAGACATATACACAAGTGTCTGTTCTGCTATGTAGGACATGAGTCTGTCTGAGACATATACATAGATGTCGTTTCTGCTATGTAGGACACAAGTCTGTCTGAGACATCTACATAGATGTCTGTTCTGCTATGTAGGACACAAGTCTGTCTGAGACATATACATAGATGTCATTTCTGCTTTGTAGGACACAAGTCTGTCTGAGACATCTACATAGATGTCTGTTCTGCTATGTAGGACACAAGTCTGTCTGAGACATATACACAAGTGTCTGTTCTGCTATGTAGGACACAAGTCTGTCTGAGACATATACACAAGTGTCTGTTCTGCTATGTAGGACACAAGTCTGTCTGAGACATATACATAGATGTTGTTTCTGCTATGTAGGACACAAGTCTGTCTGAGACATCTACATAGATGTCTGTTCTGCTATGTAGGACACAAGTCTGTCTGAGACATATACATAGATGTCGTTTCTGCTATGTAGGACACAAGTCTGTCTGAGACATCTACATAGATGTCTGTTCTGCTATGTAGGACACAAGTCTGTCTGAGACATATACATAGATGTCGTTTCTGCTATGTAGGACACAAGATTGTCTGAGACATATACACAAGTGTCTGTTCTGCTATGTAGGACACAAGTCTGTCTGAGACATCTACATAGATGTCTGTTCTGCTATGTAGGACACAAGTCTGTCTGAGACATATACATAGATGTCGTTTCTGCTATGTAGGACACAAGTCTGTCTGAGACATCTACATATATGTCTGTTCTGCTTTGTAGGACATGAGTCTGTCTGAGACATATACATAGATGTCTTTTCTGTTATGTAGGACATGAGTCTGTCTGTCCCAAGTCATGAGACTGTAGTACAGTGGATGTCGTTGGTTCATGTCTGTCAAGTTTTTTTTTTTTGTAAATTGTTTTGTTATAAATTAGGCAGTTAGTTTTCACGTTTGAATTGTTTCACACTTCATGTCAGGGCCTTTTATGGCCGACTATACAGTATGGGTTTTTCTCATTGTGGAAGACATTATGGTTAACTATAATTATAATTGCTTACATCCACTTCATTTGAACTCTGGTGGATAGTTGTATAATTGGCAATCATACCACATCTCCTTATATTTACAAAAGTGTCAACTTGAAAAATGTTCTAACATGAGATTTTATTCTCATTATTTTTCATAATATTATGATTTTACTTTTGCATTTAAATAAAATTGTTTTTACAATCAAAATTCAATGGAACTACTCATTCATGTATCAATAATTAGTTAAGACAACATGTCAGATGAATTGGCCACTCTACACAATGCACATAAACAATGTTTTCACAAATAATATTTGTTAATTCTTACATGATTAAAAAAAAACTACTCGTGAGGAAAAAATATTGAAAGAAAGGGTAAACATGGTAAATAATAGATTTTGTCTTAAAGGTTGGAGATTTGTTCTCTTTGTTAGGATATTTCGAAATTATAAAAAAAAAGTATCAGGATGCTAATATCTCTCTTTCTATAATAATATTAAAGATAATATATAACCCAAAACTGTAAAATTTCCTAAAAATTAACTATTTCGGGACGGTAACCCAACAATAAGTTGTCATATTGGTCTGAAGATTACTTGATAGGTAGATCTAAACCTGTTGAACACTTTCACTTATGTCAGTTTTGCTCTTACTGCTTTAGGTTTTGAAATGAAAGCCAAAAACTTCATTTGACCCCTATGTTCTATTTTTAGAAACTGCCGCCATGTTTTTAAATGGATCAAATCCCCCAATACAATCTATAAACTAGATACCCTAAGGAACATTCTATTTAAGTTTTTAAGTATTTGGCAAAGTAGTTTGAGAGAAGAAGATTTTTGAAAAAGTGATTGGTCTTTCACAAAAAATGTAATAAAAAAAAACGTTTTAAGGGCAATAACTCCTAAAGGGTCAATTGACTATTATGATCATGTTGACTAATTTGTAAATCTTACTTAGCTGAACATTTATTGCCATTTATACTTTCTCTCGATCTATTATAATATTAAAGATAATAATAACCAAAAACAGTAAAATTTAATAAAAATAAAACTATTTCCAACAGTAACCCATTAATGGGTTGTCGAACTCGTCTGAAAATGTCATAACAGATAGATCATGACCCATTTATCACTTTAACTCTCTTTCACTTTTGATCTAACTGCTGTAGTTTTTGAGATACAAGCCAAAAACTGCTTTTGTCCCCTATGTTCTATTTTTAGCCATGGCGGCCATGTTTGTACATGGATCAAAACTTCGTATACAAATTATAAACTAGATACCCTAAGGAGCATTCAGTTAAAGTTTTGAAGTATTTTGCACAGTAGTTTCAGAGAAGAAGATTCTTGAAATAGTTTACGACGACAATGACGCCGGACGCTGAGTGATGGCATAAGCTCACATGGGGCCCTTCAGGCCCCGGTGAGCTAAAAATTGACCTAAATGGGACACTTAACAAAAGTAAATCCTTTACATAACAAGAACACCATATGATTTGTTTGTCTAGTGAAATCATATGAATCCCTAACCAATATATTTTCCATAGAATTAATTGAGTAAATTACCTGGTATAGTTTCTCCTCCAGTTCCAAATAAAACATACTGGGATCCATCTTTAGTTGTATACATAACTGGTGACATATAGATCTCTTTCTTATGTGGAGCAGCTATGTACCTGACACCAAAAACTTTCCCAGTAGCACCAGACAAAACAAGGAGTCTGCCTGAATGACGATTATGTTCCTATATAAAACAATTCCTAGTTTGAAAATCTATTTATAAAAGTAACACCTCTAAAATAGAACACTTAATCAAATTTCTTTACAAAGATTGCAGGACTACAAACATAGGAAAGAAATTCAGAATTTCATTGGCTTATACATTTAAGTTGTCACATCCATATGGTTTTATATATTCAATACAAATTTAATAACTGTATGTACACTTCATTTATAAAGGGATATTGCTATAATATAACATAACTTTAGAATAAAACTCAAATGTTTTTTTTTGTTTTTGAGATTGTAGTGCTGTCTTGTTGAAATATACATTCCACATCTCCTTTTATTTATATTTAGAAACAAAGTACAGTAACTCTTTCAGATAAACAGGTTCATCAAAAATTAATTCTACAGACCAAATATAATTGACCTGTAACTTTTAGTTTCAAACATTGTACCTCAAGATTAATGAACCATAAAAATAAGGTTAAGGTCAAGTGACCCCTGCCAGACAATAATGTAATCCTTATAATTGAAACTATTTTTATATCAAATATAGTCAAACTTTTTATAACAAGCAGTGACAATCTGACTTATCATGAAAACTTCATCTGATGTAAATTAGATCAAAGTCAAGTAACCCTTGTCGCGAAGGCATGAGCATCTCAAGACAACTAAGAAATTTTAAATCTAAGAATGAAAACTTAATATGAGTCACTGAACCTGGCAAATTAGGTCAGGTCAGAATATTCCATCAGACAAACATGTTAACCTTGCAATAAATATATTGACCAAATATAGAAAACCTTTTTATCATTATCTGAGAAACCAAACTGATCCAAGAAAAATTTACATTAATCACAAAACTTTGAAAATGAGGTCAAGGTCAAATGTTTGCAAGACAGACATGTACTCTTAACAATAAAATTTTATGACAAATATAGTCTGACTTTGTCTTGCAGTTAATGATAAATTGATATAATTACGAAACTAATCAGATTCATTAAACCACAAAATGAATTCAAGGTTAAGCATCATGTCCCACTTTCTGAACCTAATTAAAACCTAACATGAGGTTTATAGATATGAAGTTGAGTCAAGGTGAAGATACATCCTTTTTTTAATAACAGATGTTTATGAAGTATGTTCCAAACATAAGTGATCATTAAGATATTATCATTTTATGAATCTGAGATGATTTTCAATTGTCCATCCTTGAGGACCTTTTACTTAAGAAATATAACAAATAAAAGTACTAAGACATGTCCTTATAGTCTTGTCAACACATGAACAAAGGTCTTGATAAAATTTTGCAGTGAATTTGAATGAAAACATAATTTGAAGACACTCAACGATATTGATTAACACTGAAGTCAGTATTAAGTGTCAAATTCATGACAAAACCTAGTCGTTATAAACTAGAAATAAAAGTATATAAATGTATTATAATCTCAAAGGATACAGTAAAAAGCTATGATATTATGTCAATTTAAAACAAACAGAACACAAATCTTTTGCTTTAGAAAGAAGATTGTACATTTTTTCCCCTATAAAATAAGTACAATGTAATAAAATTGAGAATGGAAATGGGGAATGTATAAAAGAGACAACAACCCGACCAAAGAGCAGAAAACAGCCCCATTGCTGATACCATGGAAGTATTATATTGACAGGAACTCCAACGAAAAATTAGCACATTCCCATCCCACTGATTTCTTTAAGAAAATAAAAGGTTCCGACTCAGTTTGTCAAGTACGTGATAACTCCTTTGTGGGGTATCTGCGATGCCGCCTTCGCCTGTTCTGTTAACTGAAGCTGGTCGTATCACGTGATTTGGTATCGAGTGTCTTATCTACCTACCAATGCAAATAAACACGGAAACTCCCGTGGTTATATGTGAATCGCCACATGAATAACGACACCTGTTTCCGTTCAATAAATGAAGGCAAAAGCTGAAAAGATCTAAAAAATCGGTCCATATTTAACAGAATGACATAAGAAAATTAACTGCATTCGGAAAGAGGGCAAGCTTATTTTTAGTTTTGTTTAATATGTTTTATTCATTGGAACTTGGAAATCGGGAAATATCCGATATTAAAAATTACATGTACCTAAAGTCGGGTGTTTGCGGAAAACAATATGATGCGCGTGCAGTGTGTAAGATGGCGAAGGATAGCTCAAATTCAAGCTTAAGGCTGTAAATTTTTATCGAGTGTTACAAGAATATTTATAGTTTTCTCTACCGTCTCAATGTAGAAAAATGTTAGTTAGCGTATTTATCAAATATGTTTTACAGACTGTTAACAATTACACGCACATGATGACTTCTACATAGCATTATCAGGTTACGAGACAGATGAATTGTTACACCTTTTATAATAATTCCAAAGTCATAAACAACCTTAACCATTCAACCTAGTCCGAGATTACTCTGACGTCTGACAGATTTTTTTTACGAATGGCTTAAAATATTTCTGGATGCATTTAAAGAACGATCACCATGATGGGCCCTAAGCAGTATAATATTTTTTTCATTCTTAAAATTTTATCACGGGAACCATATTTGAATTTATTTATGTGTGTAAATGCTTAACAGTTCTTAAACATCTTACGCCCAATGTTAAGCAATTTATGTTTTTGTTTCTTGTTGAATTGCATGAAATATTTGCCATTGGACTTTCAGTAAACAATTAATCAAAATATTTGATTTTTTCCCGATCAAATCCTTTTACCTCCCCCGGGCCCCGCCGCTACGGGGAACCAACTTTTGGATTAAATTTTTGTTGAAAATTCTTTCAGTAAACACTTAGTTAAAATATTTGTCAAAGTTAGCAGTAAAACACGATAATAATTGCTGATATCATAAAAGATTTTCCGTTTACTTTTTGTAAGAATTTTACGACTTTAAAGCCTAGCATCTATATACTGACACATGTAACAGTTATGCGTTTTTATCCAACAGCCCTCTCACGAATAAAAAATCTTTAAATTTAAATTGATTGTAACTTAAACTGAAATGTTTATGGCTTGAACGTGTACGTTACTCTTCGGTTTTTTTTGTGAAAACAGTCGCGGGGATTTCGTTTATTTCTTTTTATTTGTTTTTACGCAACAAAACTCGTAAAAACTGACATATTTGTCATTTAGTGACATGGTCGGTAAACGTCATTTCCTTGACAATTAAGTATACATCCGGTTATTTCGGCATGTTCCGTAATTACGATCAATCACGAGGTTCAAAAAATTTGATCGGAACCCATGCATCCATATGACATATCAAGTTAATTAACAGATACTTAACGATTTTGCGGCATCGCACTATAAACGTTAGTAGTCCGCTTGTTGGAGTTCCTGTCAATATAATACTTCCATGCTGATACATACATTATTATATGATAAATATTGTTTACCTCTGGTTCTTTATCTGGATCCCCACCATTAGTTAGCAATACTTCTGGTACCCCATCCTGATCAAAGTCAGGTAATGCTAATACTTGGTAAGTATTCCATGTTGGTTTTATTAAATTGTTATCACCAAGCCATAAAATTTTTCCTGAAATAAAAAAAATGTGACCTTTTATTTGATATAATTTTCTACCTTTCTTCACTTATACTGTAATTTTTGTAGCTACTTTTTTCCCCCTTTTAGCCTTTTCTTGTTGACCTTACTGTGATTTTCTTTCTTCAATTTTCTAAATTTGTTGGTTTATTCATATTAAAAAAGATCCAAGTTTGACACATTTGTAATGATTTATATTTGTGTTATTTTTGTACTTCAGAAAGTTTCATAAATAAATTGCTAGTGAATATTAAAGAACCTCTAGAGAGCAAGTCTACATAAAAGAGAAGAGCATATAGTGACTTTTTTTCATAGTTCTTTCTAGTGACGGTGACTATTATGTATGATTCTATTCTGTTATGACTTCAGACAGTTATATTATCTTTCAAATAATGAAAGCACTATCCAGGTGATATTCCATTAACTTGGCCTAAATAACTTTGACCTGGACTTATCACCGACATCATAAAGAATGAACCTACGTTGATAAATTTGACCTGAACTTATCAAGTCATCTTCCGGTTTGCTGGTGAAACAAAGAAAAACACATGTTTCTATCATGCAAAATTCACAAATACAATCTGATAAATCAATTATCAGATTTTCATCATATTTATATTGTTAAATGTCATCTGCTCAACACAATAGGAAAGACACCCACAGGACAAAACCTTCATATTTTATAGTATCAATAGGCAGACAACCTGATAATTACAAATTTCATAACAAGTGAGAATTAGATATTGCTTGATATCAACTCAAGTTATTTAATTTTAATATGAATGTAATAATAAACGAGTCTTCGAGGAGTAAGAAATCACATATGTCTGTTGCCATAGATAAAATGTACATCGTCTTAACCTTTGAAAGTTATCAATGACCTAAGGAATAGCCAATGGAAATGTTGTAATATCCTCTCATGATGCTGGATAAGCCAATCAAATTAACGCAGTTTTCGTATCACACTGCACGGAGTGAAATACGAGATATATCTCTTCATGCAAGAAATAAATAAGAGGCCACAACCATAAGAGAATTGATACTTATGTGACCATATATACAAGTTTGGTTCTAATCCCATGTCAAGTTCTGGAATTATAATCTGGAAACCTCTTTTTTCTTTTAAATCTTTCAAAGGAGCAAGGTTTTTTTAAAATATTTTGAAAAAAAATATGTTAAGTGATAACTTTCAAAAAGAACTTGAAAAATTGGGACATCATAATTATTACTGACAACACGAGGCTGTCAGAGTGACAGCAAACCGGATTTTCCTGCAGAGGTTGAACCCTGAACAGTTGAACAAGTATATACACAACATTTAAGCTTAAAACAGCTCTGAATTTGGATTATGATTGAATATTTGACACAGCATAGGTTTGTGACTCGAAATTAATGTGGTCAAAGATCTGAAAAATTTGAAATTGGACATTTACCTATTATGGTCCAATATCCAAAATCTAAGTACATTATTAGAATCAGTATACCAAAGAACCCCAAGAATTCAATTTTTGATGAAATACTTATTAATTACACCATTTCTGTTCAAAGGGAAATAACTAAAAAAAAACAAGAGACCAAATGACATAGAAATTAATTATTAATTACACCATTTCTGTTCAAAGGGAAATAACTCAAATTCATATAATAAAAATCACTTTTGCTACTGAAAGGTCTACAACTCAACAACGAGAACAGCTAAAATCATGAAAATTGTACTTGACCTTCATTTAGTCACAAGAAACAACATATCTAAATTTGAAAAGATTTCGTCAAAGCGTTTTCATGTGTATGAACGGACACTGTTTGGCAGCCGCCCGCCCGCTGTACATCCCCAAATCAATAACCTATTTTTCTTTCGAAAATCCAGTTAAAAATTGTTTTTCCCTGATATATTTTTGGGGTAGTTTGTCAATGCCCTATGAAATTTGGTACATCATAAATTTTCTAAATAAAAGAATTATACATTCTTGAACATAGATCCATTTCTTTCCAGGAAGTTTTTATTTTTTGTGTACTATCTACTAAACCTTACAATTTAAGTCAAAAGAGAAAGTCTATTCCATATTGACACTCAACTCTAAACCTTGCAGCTAATAGGGTTCTTCAAGATCACACAATCAAGGAAAGGGTGGAATTCAATAGTTATGGACATGTTAATTAGTGAATTCAATAGTTATGGACATGTTAATTAGTGACAACTATCAAACAGAACTATAAACTTAAGACGTCACAATTATTATTGACACAAGTCTGTTTTTCCTCGATGTATTTTTATGGTAGTTTGTCTTTTGGCCATGATATTTTGACTAGAAAACAATCTGAGTTAATAAAATAAATAATGTACTTGTACCAGTACATGATAAAAACAGTTACTCAAACATACCATTCTTTGGGTTTACTGCCTGAAGAGTTGCCCGCCTTCCAGTAACTATACAGTCTTTCTGTCCATCCTTGTTCACATCAAAATCTTCACAATTTATAAATATTACAGCTGATTTAGTAAATGTTTTCCATAAAACTTCACCGTCAGTACCTCTTATAGCAAACAAATGTCCTAGGCAGGGATAAGACATATCTGTGAAATTGGAAAAGAAAAAAAACTTGTAAACCTGGTTCTGGTCATACTGATTAAAAGATATAAAAGCATTAGTTAAAGAATTCATAATGCATGTGGCAAAACATAATACAAAAACAAAGAAGATATATTTTATATGTTTCATATTTCATATAGATTAAATTGGTGGCCTAGGGCTGTTTTCTGCTCTTTGGTCCGGTTGTTGTCTCTTTGCATTCCCCGTTTCCATTCTCAATTTTATGAAACATATTCTTTTAAAAGAGCTGGAAACAGCTATTTTGTAACATTGCTTATCTTTGAAACTGACTGATATTTAATGTGACTGACATCAGGATGATACAGAACATGATAGGTTCTAACCCAATTATTTCATAAGAAGAACCAAAGCAATCAAATAGTCTCTGTTATATTCAACATTTGGTGAATCATGTCTTCACACACTACTTGGACACTGGAGATTGTAAAGAAAGCATTGCCTTATTAAGGCTTATTACTTATTATTGTGTGTGTCTATGAAACACATATCTTGCCCCCTTGAGTTCCAGCAGGAACCTGCAGTCAGTTAACCTGTTATTCATGTTATTTCTAAATCTGTTTTCCACAATAAATAAGACCAAACAAGTGTGCACACACTGAAATGTCTCGCCTGCTTTACTGACCATTAATTTTATTTTGATAGTCCTAAATATAAAGCTTTACTACAAGTATCACATAAACTTAACATGATCCAAGAAAATGAGGTCAAGGTCAGATAAACTAAACTGGAAATACATGTACACCTTACAATCATTCCATACATCAAATATAGTTCACCTATTGCTTATACTTTCTAAGAAAAAAACTTAATCAGGAAAACTTAACATTGACCAATGAACCATGAAAATGAGGTCAAGGTCAAATGAACCATGCCAGACATACATGTACACCTTACAATCAATCTATGCATTAAATATAGTTGACCTATTGTTTATAGTATCTATGAAACAAACTTAACCATGAAATCTTAACATTGACCAATGAACCATTAAAATGAGGTCAAGGTCAGATGATACCTGCCAGATAGACATATACACCTTACAATCATTCCATACACCAAATATAGTTGACCTATTGCTTATAGTTTAATAAAAACAGACCAAAACACAAAAACTTAACACTGAGCAATGCACAGTGAAAATGAGGTCAAGGTCACATAAAATCTGCCAGACTGATATGTACATTGTAAAATATTTCCATACACCAAATATAGTTGACCTATTGCATATAGTATTTGAAAAAAAGACCAAAACACAACAACTTAACTTTAACCACTGAACCATGAAAATGAGGTCAAGGACAGATGACACCTGCCAGTTGGACATTTACACCTTACAATCATTCCATACACCAAATATAGTAGACCTATTGCTTATAGTATCTAATATATGGACTTGACCACAAAAAATTAACCTTGTTCACTGATCCATGAAATGAAGTTGAGGTCAGATGAAAACTGTCTGAAAGGCATGGGAACCTTGCAAGGTACGCATATACTAAATATAGTTATCCTTTTACTCTTAATAAGAGAGAAATTAACATTACAAAAAATCTGAACTTTCAAGTAGTCATTGAACCAAGAAAATGAGGTCAAGGACCATGGACATATGACAGACAGAAACTTCATAACATAAGGCATCTACAAAATGTATATACAAAGTATGAAACATCCAGGTCTTCCACCTTCTAAAATATCAAGATTTTAAGTAGTTAGTTAACGCCGCAGCCGGATCACTATCCCTATGTCGAGCTTTGAGTGACAGAAGTCGCAGGCTCGACAAAAACTACATATCCTATAAATATATTTCTGTAACACCTTCAAAACAAAATACTCTTTGATTAATAACCTGCAACTTGTCCAAAAAAATCAGAATTCTTCTATGCACATCTTTACTGTATGTACAAAAAAAACCAAGCAAAATAAAGTTGTTTGAGCTTGAATTGAAATTAATTCTCTCATCTGTTCAAAAGAATTGGTGGACATATTTGTAGTTGAGTAGTTACATAATTACATGTACTAAAACAATACATCTAACATGTCTAACATAATTCTGAAGTAAATAAAAAAAAAGAATTGTTTTTAGTGTTTAAATTGTACTTTCTTTTTACAGTGATACATGTATATACAATGACAATTGGTTAATATACAGTGTAGGTTACCGTATCGATACATGTATTTTTGCAGAATGGCTACGTCAGTTCCCAAAGGATAAAGATTTACAGATGCCATGTTGAAGGGTCATAAAAATACATCACAGAGTTCAAATATTCCTGTTACTTTGGACTTAACAAAATTACTGTTTTGTATTTCATTTAAGACATTCATGAAAAGATGTTACAGTTGATGCAGGAGAATCCAAACAACTAGATAAAGAACTGACGTAAACTGAACTTACTTTTCATTTTGCAAATTTCCTGAGCAGATGTGTGCAATTTTTGTAAACCTTCACCAATATTTTCTGATAGTGATGCACCAAATATAATGTCTAATACACCATCATTATCAACATCTATAAGTCTAACACAGGATTCAGAGCCTGAAAAAATTATTATGCAAAAATCATTATATTTAAATAACAACTGTCATGACTGAAAAAAAAATCGTAAGAGGTTCCGCGGAACCCTGTGTCTTGCCTGTGATTGCTGCTGTCAGTGTAAAAGTGTAATGTTGAATTAAAAAGTAAGTCCATTTATCGGTAAAATACAGAATTAAAAAAAAAAATCAAACTTTTTCTTTAGATGCTATTTCTTGGTCTTGCAGATTAGCTTCTGTCCAAGTTTCATAGCAATCCATGAAGCTTTACAAATTTATGATGTGACAAAAATCTAATCCCAGTATGTCTGTAAATGTTACTTGTATAAAACAAAGTCCATTCATCGAAAAAATACTAAAAATGAAAAAAATATTTTTTTAAAAGATTTGCTTTAAACATTATCTCTTAGTCATTAAAAAGCTTCTGCCAAAGTTTCCTAAAACTCTATGAAGGTTTGACTAAGTAATTGATGTGTAACAAACTTTAACACCAGACTGTATCCACTTGTTACATGTACAATGTAGCTGTAAAAAAACTAAGTCCATTTATCAGTAAAATAAGGAAAAATGAAAATAAATATTTTCAAAAATTTTCTCTGGATACTGTCTTTTGCAATTAGTCATAAACCATATATGTAAACAAGCTTCTGTCCAAATTTCCTAAAATTCCATGAAGGTTTGACAAAGTTATTGATGACTGAAAAGCTTTAACCTCAGACTAAACTGATTGTTAACTGTAAAAAAAAAACAAGTCCATTTATCAGTAAAATATGGAAAAAAATTTTGCTCTGGCATTTTGAGGTACATTTTTGGACATTATTTTTTATACAGAGCACATACTGCTACCATCTTTGGTAGTAAGAACTAACTTATCGTAATACATTAACTGACATAAAAACATCACATATATAGTATCCTACAAGAGACTGACAAAGGTTTGAATGGAAGTCAGCATTTTTTTTAAATAGCCCAATATTATTATAATATTATTATAGCTTAATATCTGAGACTACTGTAACAATAGTCTCAGTTAATATATACATTTTATACAGATGATTTTCAGAGGATCAAAAATTCAATTTCTCCCTTTTCTCCAATTATTCTATGTAGGCAGAATACAATAATGTTTTGCACATTTTTGGATACCTTGCTTATTTTCAAGCTATGTTTCAATAATCCAAACTTTTTAAGTGCAGTGTTTTAGTGAAATTTTAAATTAAAATTGTTATGCAATCATATTCCCAAATAAACTTTAACCACAGACTCACTGACTGAACCTAAGAAGTTGATGCCGCCGCCGACAGAATCTAGGATCGCTTTGTCTTGCTTTCACGAAATAAATTTTACAGGCTCACAAAAAGCATAAGAATACATGTATAAATACATGATAAATTGGGCACAAGGTTATACATTTGTGTATTTCATTTGCGCCAAAAAAATACTATATTTCATAATTTGCGCCATTTTACAGGTAACATATACCAGAAAAGATTAAATAGTCATTGCTATATCGTGAATCACAACAATTCAGAATCAGAGTTCGAAAAGCATCTGGTGACATTACTAAAAGACCATCAAAGGTTATACGCACAAGGTAAATTCTCCTTGCGTTGCCAATATTGCTTTTACAATATGCAAGTCAAAATGTATTTTCCAAATCAAACATAGAATAATACTTATATTATCTATCTGCAAATGTACGAATACATTTTTATAAATTTAGAAGAATTTTCAAGCTATGTTTCAATAATCCAAACTTTTTAAGTGCAGTGTTTTAGTGAAATTGTAAATTTAAATTGTTATGCAATCATATTCCCAAATAAACACCAAATAAACAGCCACTGGGCTGGGCTATACTCATCAAACCCGGGTTTTTTCTAACTCTGGTCCAAATTTCATAAAATTCCATGTAGGTTCAACAAAGTTATTGATGTATAAAAAAAATTTAACCACAGACTCACTGACTGAACCTAAGAAGTTGATGCAGCCGCCGACAGAATCTAGGATCGCTTTGTCTTGCTTTCACGAAATAAATTTCACAGGCTCACAAAAAGCATAAGAATATAAAAACATGATAAATTGGGCACAAGGTTATACATTTGAGTATTTCATTTGCGCCAAAAAAAATACTATATTTCATAATTTGCGCCATTTTACAGGTAACATATACCAGAAAAGATTAAATAGTCATTGCTATATCGTGAATCACAACAATTCAGAATCAGAGTTCGAAAAGCATCTGGTGACATTACTAAAAGACCATCAAAGGTTATACGCACAAGGTAAATTCTCTTTGTGTTGCCAATATTGCCTCTACAATATGCAAGTCAAAATATATTTTCCAAATCAAACATAGAATAATACTTATATTATCTATCTGCAAATGTACGAATACATTTTTATAAATTTTGAAGAATTTTTGGGGGCAAACACTCTAATGGATAGTGCTTTCTTTTAGGTTTTATGGCCACGTTGATTTATAACAGAACTGTGTTTTAACATTATTACGAAAAGCCTCTTATCAATGTATAGTGCTTTCATTATGGTTTTATGATGCCTGATTCTGATGAATATGTGTTAATATGCAAACAAAAACTGTGTTTTAAAGTCATTATTAAAAGTCTCTTTTCAATAAATCTATTTTTTTTTTTTTACTATTTATCTGTATTTACCTGTAGTATAGGCACAAATGAAAGATTTTTTCGGTGCAAATGAAATGCCAATTGGCGCAAAAGCAAAGCACTGAATAAATCCTATCAAGGGTAAAAAATTCAACAGAATAGTTTTGAGAAAAGGATCCGGAGTTGATATTGCAAAAAGGGGCTGTATTATAGACAAATGCAGACTATCGGATAATGCACTGCTTTCTTTGGTAAAATTAAATATGAACAACATTCTTACTAAAAAAACATATTTGAATAACATCAATATCTTTGTATGAGATATTTTTTGACAAACATCTTTTGGGAGCTAAAGCACTTACCATGTTTATTTACTCTGACTAGAAATGCAAACATTTCTAAAAGTTATAGATTCTTCTGACATTACAATGTTGATTTCATTTGGAAAAAAATCATTTAACATGTTATAAAAAATTAAATAAACCATGTTTAAAAAAAAAAAATCTGTGAAAGAAGGTGAGACTTCCTGTATAAAAATTCGTAAGGGTTCCGCGGAACCCAGTGTCTCGCCTACTTTTTCTGTTAATCGCAGGCTCAACAAAAATGAGGAAGTAAATCAATAAAAATATTCCTCTTGATACTATCTTTTGATTGAAAGAAGCTTCTGTCCAAGTTTGGTAAAAATCCAGGATAGTTTATGAATCTAATAAATGTTTAAAAACTTTAACTGCAGACTGAATGGTATGTTAACTGGAAGAAAACAAAATTTCCTTCTAGATACTAGCATTTGATCATAAACAAGCTTCTGTCCAAGTTTGGTACAAATCCAAAATAGTATAAGAAAGTTATTAAAATTTTAAAAACTTTAACCACAGAGTGAATATGTTGTTTCCTGGCAGAAAATCTAAGTCCATTTAAAAGTAAAATAAGGAAAAAATGGATTTATTTTTTTACAAAATTTCCTTCTAGATACTATCTTATGATCATAAACAAGCTTCTGTCCAAGTTTGGTACAAATCCAAAATAGTATAAGAAAGTTATTAAAATTTTAAAAACTTTAACCACAGAGTGAATGTGTTGTTTCCTGGCAGAAAATCTAAGTCCATTTAAAAGTAAAATAAGGAAAAAATGGAATTTTTTTTTACAAAATTTACTTCTAGATACTATCTTATGATCATAAACAAGCTTCTGTCCAAGTTTGGTACAAACCCAGGATAGTTTAAGAAAGTTATTAAAATTTTAAAAACTTTAACCACAGAGTGAATGTAATATTTCCCGGCAGAAAAACTAAGTCCATTTATAAGTAATATATGGAAAAAATGGAATTTTATTTTTACAAAATTTACTTCTGGATACTATCTTATGATCATAAACAAGCTTCTGTCCAAGTTTGGTACAAATCCAGGATAGTTTAAGAAAGTTATTAAAATTTCAAAAACTTTAACCACAGAGTGAATATTTGTGGACGCATGTATGCAAAAATTATATTTATTGTACTACAGAGATACATTTATACAAATATTTAGTCTTCTAGATGTTTTTAAAAATGGAGTCTCTTAAAATTCTAATGTATATTTTTAAATTGTCAAGTACCTTTTGTAAATTGTTTTATACATGTATAGCCTGGTACAATCAATAAATAATGTTTTCATACAAAGAAGTGTATTTGTAACTTTGATTATATACATGTACATGTATATAAATAAATGCAGAAATGACTTTCATTTACTGAAATGACACTAAAAAAGGATTAATTTGTTATAAAACTGAAATTGTATAATTTGTTTTTTAAAACCTAAGTGATCAGGGATTTTTTGTAGGTACAAACAAAACTTATACAGATTCAAATCTTTTCTGGGGAATATACATGTAAAAGTTCATCTATAACTTAATAGTCCAAAATACTGGAGCATACAGGCTTGATTAATCAACAAGAAAATTCATATAAGCTAACTCTTAACTTACCATAATTTTCCATTTTTTTCTTCCAATCTTTGCCCATTGGATGTTTTCTGTTTCCTTTTGTTGGTGGTTTAATCACAGATATTTTGTTTGGTTTAGATTGCTGAGGAGATATCACATGGTTTGTTTGATTGATCAAGTTCCCAGTTGAATTAACTTTTTGATTGTCAGTATTATCATCAGCTGATAATTTAAGTGCCCCTACTGCTGCTATTACTATACATGTTATCAATATACAAGTCACCCAACAAATAATGGTCCAGTTTTTAGGATCTGGTTGTATAACTTTTGGTTGGTGTTTTGGTGCTTTTGCTGGTGGTTTCCCATTTTGTGGAGGAATCAGTTGAAGTTCTATTTTCCCATTGTCTACTTTATGTCCATAAATAACATCTTCATCATCAGAGTCATCGCTCAGAGATGTTAATGGAACTTTTGTATATTGGTCCAATTCATAAGAATACTTTCCTGAAAAAAAGAATTATACTTAAATGCAAAATGTGAAAAACTCAGTTTATTTGCTTTTACTACATTTTTATTAGATATAAGAAGATGTGGTATGAGTGCCAATGAGACAACTCTCCATCCAAGTCAAAATTTATAAAAGTAAACCATTATAGGTCAAAGTACAGTCTTCCACACGGAGCCTTGGCTCACACCGAACAGCAAGCTATAAAGGGCCTCAAAAATTACTAGGGTAAAACCATTCAAACGGGAAAACCAACGGTCTAATCTATATAAAAAACTAGAAACGAGAACCACATCAACAAACGACAACTACTGAACATCAAATTCCTGACTTAGGACAGGTGCAAACAATTGCAGCGGGTTTAAACGTTTCACTGGTACCAAACCTTCACCCTTATCTGAAACAATAGTGTATCATCACAAAAAAGAAAAAATGCTCCGCTGGGGCGCAGCTTGATACGACCGCAGAGGTCGAACCCTGAACAGTTGGGGCAAGTATGGACACAACATTCAAGCTTGATACAGCACTGAATTTGGATTGTAATTAAATATTTGACACAGCATAGGTTTCTGACACAGAATGAAAGTGGTCTAAGAACTTAAAAAATTTCAATTTACCTATTCATACATGTGATGGACTGTGAAACTCAGATCAGGAGATTGGGAAATTTTGGTCAGGAGATTAGGACTCAGATCAGGAGGTTTTTAATCGACATTAATTTTGTTGTAAATGTAACCGTGTGCTGTAAAAATGGTCTTTTAAAGTGTGTTTTCTTCAACTTTCCATCCAATTTATTATGTTTATAGTACCCTTGTACTTATAAAGTTTCTCCATCTTTATATTCTACATGTTCAATCTAACATTGTTTTTTTCCAGTATGTTCTTTAAATTTTTTACTTCATATTCTATAAAACAATCATTGCAACCAGAACATTTTTTTAGCTGTCTGCAAATAGTTTTAATTTGCAAACTCAGAAATTCATTCTATCTGTAAAGTTAGGGTCATAGTTATTATATAAATTTCAATTTAAGCCTTAAAAGGAAGTATAGAATCCTCAAATAATTTTCAAATTATTATTTTTTTATTTGTCCTAAGACATTTAAAATCATTTAATAACCATCCTTTTATGATTATTTGTTCAATTTATATTTTATTTATATTCTTTTAAAAATTTTCATTATTAAAAGGAAAGTAACTTAAAACAGGATAAATCAAGGGAAGTAACCCAATAAATACACAGTTTTTGTTACACAACGGCAGTTAGCCTGAGGTAAAAATCGTTGCTTACCAGTATGTTTGACACCCAAGCTGACAAGTGAAGCCATATAATTATGCATGTTAATTGATTTACAGGTAAAATATAACTTCAGGTAATGTCAGTTACACCAGATGCCTGAGATGATATGTTGGGCAGAAATTTTTCATTCATGAAAAATTTCATACACGGGATTTTTTCCTCTTCAACGGGAGGTCGGGAGGAGACCCCTGAAAACGGGATTATTGTACTCCCGTCGGGAGGTTCACATGTATGCCTATTCAAACCATATCATTATTATTTGCTTTTATATATAAATCAGAAATAACCAATTTAAAATGGAAAATGTTAAAGAAAAAAAAGGAAAAAAAAAATCCCCCCCCCCCAATTTTTTGAACCCCCTTATGATTCACCGCCCCCAAACTCAATCCCAGCTTTCCCTTTGTGGTATGGTACCTTGCACTACAATTACAGAGAGATTCATACACTTGAACACAAGTTATTGTCTGGAAACTAGAAAAATGCTTGTTTTTTGGCCCCTTTTTGGCCCCAAATTCCTAAACGTTTAGGGCAATTACCCCCAAACTCAATTCCAGCTTTCCCTTTGTGATATGGAACCTTGCAGTACAATTTCATAAAGATCCATACACTTACACACAAGTTATTGTCCTGAAACTAGAAAAATGCATGTTTTTTTTGCCCTTTTATGGCCCCTAATTACTAAAATTTTGAGTGAAAACCCCCAAAATCAATCCCAGCCTTCCCTTTGTGATATGGAACCTTGTAGTACAATTTCATAAAGATCCATACACTTACAAACAAGTTATTGTCATGAAACTAGAAAAATGCTTGTTTTTTGCCCCTTTTTGGCCCCTAATTCCTAATATTTGGAGGAAATTACCCCAAAAATCAATCCCAGTATTCCCTTTGTGATATGGAACCTTGTAGTACAATTTCATAAAGATCCATACACTTACAAGCAAGTTATTGTCATGAAACTAGAAAAATGCTTGTTTTTTGCCCCTTTTTGGCCCCTAATTCCTAAAATTTGGAGACAATTACCCCCAAAATCAATCCCAGCATTCCCTTTGTGATATGGAACCTTGTGGTACAATGTCAGAGAGATCCATACACTTACACACAAGTTATGTCTGGAAGTTAAAAAAATGCTTATTTTTGGCCCCTTTTGGCCCCTAATTCCTTAACTGTTAGTACCATAACCCCCAAAATCAATCCCCACCTTCCTTTTGTGGTATTGAACCTTATAGTAAAATTTCAATGAGATCCATTCACTTAAACTAAAGTTAGAGTGCGAAAACTAATGTGTATTCGGACGACGACGCCGGACGACGACGCCGGACGACGACGACGACGACGACGACGACGACGACGCCAACGTCATACCAATATACGACCACAAAAATTTTTTTGCGGTCGTATAAAAATTACTTGATATTTAGAAGAAAATACAAATTTTGCAATTTTTCCATTTAAAAAGGTTCATAACTCTAGAACGGTTAAAGTGACGCCACCAAAATTCAAACTTGATCTGTGTTTTGTGGAAATAACCATTGTGCATAAGTTTCATAACATTTGGTTAAGGCAAACTTTAGTTAGAGAACGGAAACTAAAAATTTTGCAATTTTTCCATTTATAAAGGGGCATAACTTTAGAACGGTTAAAGTGACACCACCAAAATTCAAACTTGATCTGTGTTTTGTGGTAACAAGCATTGTGTACAAGTTTCATAACATTTGGTTGAGGCAAACTCAAGTTAGAGAACGGTAACCAATTTTGGGACATACGTACGTACAGACGGATAAGGGTAAAACTTAATGCCCCCACCACTACGGCAGGGGCATAAAATTAGAAGATGTGGTATGATTGCCAATGAGGCATCTTTCCAACTGACATTGAAGGTTAGCAACTATAGGTTACTGTTTAAAGAATGTCTTCCACCATCATTGACTTGATGGTATACTAACTTACCTTACACAGTTGAACATCAGTTTGATATTGTAGACTTTTCATTTATATGTAAAGACAGCATTCACGAGTGACTTGAATTAATTTATAGTTATTGAAAGAGCAATATTTTGTATTAATCCATGACACAATTCCTCCAAACACTTGATGACAAACAAAAGCAAATAAAAAACATTGCACAAGGTCATGTTTTTCTCTGACTGTTAGTGACGTCTTTACACTAAATCCATTGGATGTTGGATGTGTACTGATTGATATTTTAGTCTTGGATACATGATTTGTTTTATTAGTTGTTATTGGCTTTGAGCTAGCTGTCAGTAACTGTGAGTACTCTCAGATCTGTACTTGGTGTCCTTTTTGTTGTTAGGGATGAGGGATGGATAAATACCCTTCCACTTCCAGTCTGTGTTTATGTTTGATGTTTTTCTGCTTTGTATCGATCTGATGAGTTAAGCCTTTTTCAACTGACTTTTATAGTTTGTTCTTATAATGATCTGTTACACCACTGTCCCAGGTTAGGGGGAGGGTTGAGTGCTCACAAACATGTTGAACCCGCCACATTCTTTATGTGCTTGTCTCAAGTAAGGAGCCTGTAATCAGTGGTTGTCGTTGGTTCATGTCTGTCACATCAGTTTTTCGTTAATTGTTTTGTTATTATAAATTAGGCCCTAAGTTTTCTCAATTGAATTGTTTCATATTTTTCATGTCGGGCCTTTTATAGCTGACTATACGGTATGGGTTTTTCTCATTGTTGAAGGCCATATGGTTGCCTATAATTGCTTACATCCACTTTATTTGAACTTTGGTGGATAGTTGTCTCATTGGCAATCATACCTCATCTCCTTATTTTTATAATGTATTACATTAAGATTTCAGTATTCTTCTACTGTATAAAACAAAAGGAAATATTTATCCTTCATGGGGAAAATACCACCATACTTAATCTTAAAAATGCATATAATGTGGAAATTGAACTCTAAGTAACAACAGACAATTTCAAGAAATTTTTTTTTTTATTTTAACCATACCTATAAGAATTGGCAATAGCCTATCACGTAACATCCAAAAAATCCACATTTTTTTGTTTCATTTAAAACATTGTTGCATGAGAAAAAGATAAAACATACTGCGATTACAAACATGTCTAACCCGGTCACATTCTTTGTAGTTCAGTGGTTGTCGTTGGTTCATGTCTGTCATATTTGTTTTTCATAAATTGTTATGTTATTAATTAGGCCATTAGTTTTCTCAATTGAATTGTTTCATATTTTTCATGTGGGGCCTTTTATGGCCGACTTTTCAGTATGGTTTTTACTCATTGTTGAAGGCTGTACAGTTGCCTATAATTGCTAACATCAACTTCATTTGAACTTTGGTGGATAGTTGTCACATTGGCAATCATACCACTTCTCCTTATTTTTATACTGTAATCTTTAACTTATATTGTTAAATGATGACCTTTTAAACTTTATCCTCCAGTTTTATAATCACCTGACTCAAGGTCAAGCATTGAACTAAGTTTTGTGAATCATAATTGCTAAATGCAACGTCTATGGTGCTTAAATATTTTTATATTGTTCCGTCTAGTTATCTTGACCTTAATAGAAAAGCAAAGGATATGGGGTATCCATCCATGACACAAAATCAGTACATGTACAGTCAAAAAACACAAAAAGCAAAGGAACAGCTTTTTAATTGCTGTTCTTCATCTCAGTCACAATGAGGCTTTCAACAGGGAGCAAAAAAAACCCTCACCTCACTGCAAGTTTAAGATGGCCCTATCACTGGCTTGAGTGGAATTCTTTGCAATAATAATTCAGATAGAATTTAGTTCATATGACCTTGAAACGGATATGGTTTCATTCACATCATGACCAAGATTTCTATCCAGTACTAATAAAACTCAACCTATACTGATCTTAGAGAGCTTTAATACCAGTCTTACATCTTTCAGACTCTGGTCCCAACTTAATATTACATAGGCTATCATTAGGACAAAATCAAGTCACATGATTTCAATTTCAGATATGGTTCGTGTTGGCAAAATTTGCTAATATATACTGCTGATAAAACCATCTAAAATATACTGATTTTGGCTAGTCTTTCTTTTTTGGTGATCCAAGTCACTTATGAGAGAGATGCTAAAACAATATTTTTTTCACTTCGAATTTTATTTACTCCATCAAATTTGTATAAAAGTAGGCATGTCTACATATAACATTGTCATATGTTGCCATCTAGAATTCTTTGTTTTTTTGGGGGATGCCATATTGCTGTCTCATTGGCATATACCCCATATCTTCCTTTGTTCATATAGTCATAATTTTAAACCTATAGATTTTATTCTATACCTGGGACCAATGAGGCTCTTCTTTAATTATCCTACCTTGTACTTTTAACTTCATGAACTTCGATCATGTAACAAAAATAATGATCAACATCATTCCTGAACTATACAATTTGACATAGGTGGTGAATTATTATTGACATACTACCATAGATTTTTGAAAATCAGCATTCATGCTTGTGTAAAACACATGTAAATGTACAAATAAGTCACATGAAACAAAAGTTGCTGGACAGTAGTTTTCTAAATAGCAACACATGAATGAAATCTCAGTTAAACTTTGACATATGTAGGGAAAGGTTAAATAACATGGAATTAGCTGAATTCATTCAACATAAAATTAAAACTGAATATTATAATAACTTCAAATTTAGTTCTACATAACTATAAAGGGTTAATGGCTCACATTTTATTGAAAAAGTTAAAAACTGTTTATATTAATGCAACAACATTTGATGACATGAGTCACCAGATAAATAACACCTATATCATGCATTCAAAACATTATGTGACTGGCAAGGCTAAACACTTGCAACCATAATTCTATTCCTCTCTTTGAAATCAATACCAATAATTCCTCTCTTTGAAATCAATACCAATAACAACTGAAAACACATGTTTGATCTAATTTTATAATTACAATTATAATTACATTGCTGCCATTTCAAAACCAGGAATTAAATCTTCAAATTGGATAAATACAATAAAAATTAGTAAAGGGTTTTTGAGGAACCCTGTTTCTCAGTTAAATGAATAAGGAAAAAAATCTAAGTTTTCCTCCGGGCGCCATCTCTTGATAACAAAAATCTTCTGTGCAAGTTTTTCAAGTTTAAAAAAACTTCAACCACAGACTGTATCTACATCTTCATAATGCCGATGAAAAAATCCTTTATAGCTATTTCTTACCTTTGTGAATTTTTGTTATAGGCTAGACATGCAAATTAAGACTTTTCTTCGTACATGTATTTACATGTTTAGAGTAATCGGTAAATTAGGAAAAGATAATCAGAGTCAGTACATACTGTAACATTGGTATTCCTACATCCTTTAATTATCAACATTTCTTAATTTTAAGCTAAATTTAAACAGTACTGCACGTCCTCTTCAAGAAGAAACAATACCAGTTTTCACCTTTCTTAGCCTTTTTAGTTCTAATATATTCAATCAAGTACATTTTATTACAGTGTAGATTCATTATTATTCATGGGATACCAAATTTTGTGGATTTCATGGGTACAGGTAAACCACAAATTTAAATGTTCAACGAATCACAAATTTTCAATAGGCTTGAATGCAGACTTTGGTAAAACCATGAAATCAAATATCCACAAAATATAATTTTTCCCCAATTCATGAAAATAAATGAATCAATAATAGTTGCACTTTACAGTATTATACTATGAAATACAGATGTAGGTCAATGAAATAGCAACACAAAATCTTGGGAGGGACAACTAGCTGTAGACTAAATTGACATATGTCAAGATCCTAATTGAAAGTCTGGACAAGTTTTAAATGCCTATAAATGTTGCTTTGTCAGGCAACGAACATTCACATTTTTTTGTTTTTCAGACTTATAACCAGGAAAATCCAGAAAACAATCTTTGTACATTAAAAATATATTTGAAAAACTAAAAGAAAGGATACTTACATATATTAAAATATACTTTCTGAGCATATACTTTACGTTAATGTATGTTAAATTGATGACAAATAAGCCACTATTTCTTAAAAATTGATGAAACTGTTGGCATGGTTTCTGTAATGATGACATCAATCACAAAACTCACAAAATGTGACCATTTTGGTAAAAATTTGTGAAAGAAGAAAATTAAAAAGACAATTACTGATGAAATGCTGCTTGAATAAGTCAAAAAACTGTCATCTACTTCATGATTCTAAAATTAATATCACGACAATGTGACCTTGAAAGACACCTTATGTGCCAAAGACCATAGTATGACTTATTTGCAAGGGTTGAAAAAAGCACTAGACTGGTGCCTGTGTCAAGTGTTTCTTACTATCGGATTAGTAATTTTTGTTTATGAAAAGCAAGACGGGCTAGCATAAAAAATGTTGTCCAGTTATTTTTGCGTAAAAAGAATTTCCTTGTGATAAATATCACTTCTTTTATGAGAGCAACCAATCAGAATCATTGTAATCAAATGTCTGATAATTACTATTTCTGAATTAATGTATTATCAATTCTAATGGGATATCAGAATAGATCAATTTTTAATCCCCCCCTGGGGTTCAGATACTTTGAATGTTAAAAATTGGGAATTTTAGATTTTTTCGATATTCCATCTCAATTTAAATAAGTTTACTTTCCTAACAGTTTTAAATTTCATATACTAGAACTTGCTTTAAAAATATCTGCAATTAGGCAGAAACCACATTTGTTGTATGTAATGGTTTTTTTCTGTTCATATATCAAAAAGTTATGTACATAAATATTTACACATCAGAGAATAGAATTAGATGATACACCTATATAGTTATATCACTGTAACTTAAGCTTGCATCAAATAATATTTTTTGAGGAAATATAGACAAATATTTAGTAGGTGAAACCTTCCATGAGAAATCTGATGTAAGTATGTAAGTTATGAATGAAATGAAACAAATAAAGTACAAAAAAAAAACAATAAAAACAATCAGCTATTCTGTTTTTGATTCACTTTCATTTTGTGTCTTTTCCTCTGTTTTTTTATTTGATTCCTCTACAGATGTGTCTTTTTTATTAGAATTTTCACCCGTCACATTTTCCGATTGATTAGGTTTGCTTTCGGTAGGTTTTTCAGATTCATTCGGTTTAATTTCTATGAGTCCATTACTGTCTCCTTCAGCACCTGAATTATCTAATATATCATCATCTTTATCTTCTGATTCATCTAAATGAACTTCCTCTACATCATCATCTCCTATTTCTTCTTCAATGTCATCTAACACCTCCACATCATCATCTGTTAACAAGAACAATATAATTATTATAGTAAAATTTCTAAATCAATCTTACCTAGTATAAATGATTTAAAATCAACATCATTACATACTTGGATCCTCTGGGTAAGTACAAAGTCTTCTTAAATTCAATTGCTAATCCAGAACACATTATACTTTCAAGTATTTTTAAGATTCTTTCTTTTTTAAGGGGGTACCCAACACTTTGACTAAAATAGATTTGGCTCGTTTAATTTTCATCAAATTTTGACAACATAATTACTTTGACATGTTGACAAAAATATAAAAATTTCAAAAAATTTAAACCACGCAATTTACAGGAATAATTTCATTGGATATATAGCAGTTTATTAACAAACACTAATTCTGATCATTGAGAAGCTTAATTCTCTTTACTAATAATATGTGATTAAAATGTTCAGCGAATTTTTGAAGAGTTAACTCCCTTATTTATTCTGTTACCCCTTAAGTTGTAACTGCTGCCAATGCCAGATATACATGTAGCATGCATCAGACTTGCTTCAGGGACCATCTTTGCAGCCAAGACAAAACCATGTTATTGGTATAAAAAAAGATTTCATTTTCCCCCTGACAAACCCAGGCTAAACCCAACTTATGTCAAAATCTTGTTGCTTTCCCCATATATGTATTGTAACAAGCATTCTGAGAGTATTGCATGGCATTACATAGTCCCCTACTGGTTAAAAATTCATTGTACTTGAACAAAATGCTAACTTAATCATTAATATGTAATATTTTCTATATTACAATAAATTGCTTCGCCGAGCGCAGCTGGATATGACCGCAGAGGTCCAACCCTGAACAGTTGGGGCAAAAATGGACACAATATTCGCGCTTGATACAGGTCTGAATTTGGATTGTAATTCAATATTTGACACATAATATGTTTCTGACACAGAATAACTGTAGTCAAAGAACTTAGAATTGGTTAAATGATTTGAATTTGTATTCAATTTTTGCTTTTGTGCAATACACTATACTGTTGCGAATTGACCTCCCCCCGCCCCCTTTTTTTCAAAAAAAAAAAAATTGATAGATTTTCTTTTTGATTTCTGAAATCTTGAGGAGAAAAATTGTCCCCCCACCCCCAATTTTTTTTACTAGATACCCTAATAATGATTATGGCCAAGTATGGTTAAATTTGTCTCAGTAGTTTCAGAGAAGAAGATTTTTGTAAAAGATTACAATAAACTGCTTCGCTGAGCGCAGCTGGATACGCCCGCAGAGGTCCAACCCTGAACAGTTGGGGCAAAAATGGACACGATATTCAAGCTTGATACAGGTCTGAATTTGGATTGTAATTAAATATTTGACATATTATAGGTTTCTGAATAAATGTAGTCAAAGAACTTGAAATTAGTTATATGAATTGAATTTATATTCAATTAAAGATTTCTTGCTGTTGTGCAATACACTATGCTGTTGCGCAATACTTAGTAAATCTGTTGTCAGACTATAAACAAATAAAGTTCAATTTCTTCTCAATGTCATATTTGAAATTTATGAAAATCAATAGGGAGATTACATCAATAACTATAAATAATTCACCAAAGTTTCATGAGAATTGCTGAAAGCATTTTTGAGTTATTGTCTGAAAACTGGAAAATCCCCCTTTTTTAATGAATAAAACCCCATAACTTGGAAATGTAAAATCTAAAATTCATAAAATTCTAAAGGGAGCTTACATCAATAGATATCAACAATTCATCAAAGTTTCATGAGAACTGCTGAAAGCATTTTTGAGTTATTATCCGAAAACTGGAAAATCCCCCTTTTTTTTTATGAATAAAACCCCGTAACTTGGAAACGTAAAATCTAATATTTATAAAAATCAAAAGGGAGCTCATGTCAATGAATATAAACAATTAACCAAAATTTCTTGCAAGTTGGTGAAAGCATTCTTGAGTTATTGTCCGAAAACTGGAAAACCCCCCTTTTTTTAATGAATAAAACCACATAACTCGGAAACGTAAAATCTAAAATTTATAAAAAACGAAAGGGAGCTCACGTCAATAGATATTAACAATTCACCAAAATTTTATGCAAATTGGTTAAAGCGTTTTTGAGTTAATGTCCGACATGTTGACGACGGACGGACGGACAGACGGACAACGGTATACCATAATACATCCCGTAAACGGGCGTATAAAAACAGGACCCAAAATTAAAAATCTAAATACACGGTTAGATTTGGCATATCAAAGAACCCCAATAATTCAATTTTTGATGAAATCAAACAAAGTTTAATTTTGGACCCTTTGGACCTCAATATGAACCAATTTGATAGCGGGGTCCACAAATAAAAAATCTAAATACATGGTTAGATTCAGCATATCAAAGAACCCCATATATTCAATTTTTGTTGAAATCAAACAAAATTTAATTTTGGACCCCAATTTGGACCAACTTGAAAACTGGGCCAAAAATCTAAAATCTAAATACATGTTTAGATTCAGCATATCAAAGAACCCCATATATTCAATTTTTGTTGAAATCAAACAAAGTTTAATTTTGGACCCCAACTTGGACCAACTTGAAAACTGGGCCAAAAATCAAAAATCTAAATACATGTTTAGATTCAGCATACCAAAGAACCCCATATATTCATTTTTTGTTAAAATCAAACAAAGTTTAATTTTGGACCCTTTGGACCTTAATGTAGACCAATTTGAAAACTGGACCCAAAATTAAAAATCTAAATACACGGTTAGATTCGGCATAACAAATAAATAAATGTGGTCAAAGATTTTACAAATCTAATGCGCCATACTGTGCAATTAAAGATTACTTCTTGAAATTTTTCAATATTTGAAATTTGAAAAAAAAATAATATTTGAAGAATAATTCTTTTTAATTTCTGAAATCTGAAATGAGAAAAAATTGACTCCCCATAATTTCTTTTTTACCCCCCTCCCCCTTTTTTCCCACAAAAAAATTCTTTCCCTCAAGATATGGTCAAAATCTCAATTCAAATTCCAATGGAGTTTGCAACCATAATTATCCATTTAAATTTACCATAGTGCTAACTTAATCTATTTTATAATAGAATTTAAAATATAGTGTCAAATCTTTCATATGGATTTTTTTGTAAAAAAAAAAGATGCAACAATTGCAGATATTTTTACTGGTCTTCCTTTATAAATATGCATTTCTTTAAACATAATTTAAAAGCAGTGTAAGGGAAGTAACCAAAACGTTGTATTTGGATTACCTCCCTTACACTGTTTTAAATTATCTTAATTGTTCATTAACCATTACTTTATACATAATTTAAAAGCAGTGTAAGGGAGATAATTTCAATGATGTATTTGATTTATCTCCCTTACACTGCTTTAAATTATGTTTTGTACTAAAGTATTTGTCCATTAACCAGGACAACCTTGTTTTTCCCCCTTTTTTGCCCCTAATTCCTAAACGGTTTGAGCCATAACCCCCCAAAGCAAATCCTAACCATCCCTTTGTGGTATGGAAACTTGTAGTATAATTTCAGAGAGATCCATACACCGTTCCACAGTTATTGTCTGGAAACTAGAAAATGCTTATTTTTGGCCCCATTTTGGCCCCTAATTCCTTAACTTTTGGTACCATAACCCCCGAAATCAATCCCCACCTTCCTTTTGTAGTATTGAACCTTATGGTAAAATTTCAAAGAGATCCATTCACTTAAACTAAAGTTAGAGTGCGAAAACCAATGTGTCTTCGGACGACGACGCCAACGTCATACCAATATACGACCGCAAAAATTTTTGCGGTCGTATAAAAATTTACGAAAAATTGTTAAAAATTGACTATAAAGGGCAATAACTCCTAAAGTGGTCGACTGACTATTTTGGTCATGGCGACTTATTTGTAGATCTTACTTTGCTGAACATTATTGCTGCTTACAGTTTATCTCTATCTATAATAATATTCAAGATAATAACCAAAAACTGCAAAATTTCCTTAAAATTACCAATTCAGGGGCAGCAACCCAACAACAGGTTGTCAGATTTGTCTGAAAATTTCAGGGCAGACAGATCTTGACCTGATAATCAGTTTTACCCTATTCAGATTTACTCTAAATGCTTTGGTTTCAGAGATATAAGCCAAAATCTACATTTTACCCCTATGTTCTATTTTTAGCCATGGCGGCCATCTTGGTTAGTTGGCGGGGTCATCGGACACATATTTTAAACTAGATACCCTAATGATGATTGTGGCCAAGTTTGGTTAAATTTGGCCAAGTGGTTTCAGAGGAGAAGATTTTTGTAAAAAGCTAACAACAACGGACGATGACGATGGACGACGGACGCCAAGTGATGAGAAAAGCTCACTTGGCCCTTCTTTTTTAATTAAGGACCATAACTCTGCAAAAAAAATCATCTGAACGGAGCAAAATTCGAACCTGAATTACAAACTTAGAATGCACATAAAAAATTCTAATTAACCTTTTTTCAAAATACAAAACAGTGATTAGATATCCACGTTTTAGGATACAGGACCATGTAAAAATATAAAAGAACAGAAAGCCTTACCATCAATAGATTCATTCACTTCTTCATCATCTTCATCGTCATCATCTAGCACCTCATAAACTTCATCTTCTGGAGAGAAAAAAAATAATGATTTGTGATGTTTAAATGAACTTATTTTCCTTTTTTGTCATTACCTGAAACACTACTTCATATTAAAGGTAAGTTTTGCACATGTACAGGCTCTTCTTGTGCATGAATGTAGTCAAGTATATAGTGGTGCATACTGTAACAATATCTTTAAAAGATGTTAGCTGAAGTAAAATAGTTATGCAATATTTGTATGAGTGGTATGTGAGCATGACCAGGGTAAAATTTATCATAAGTATAACTAGCATTATTACCTTGCAGTTGTTTCTTTTAAGTAACTCGTTCAATAGATATAAGAAGATGTGGTATGAGTGCCAATGAGACAACTCTCCATCCAAGTAAAAATTTATAAAAGTAAACCATTATAGGTCACAGTACGGTCTTCAACATGGAGCCTTGGCTCACACCAAACAGTAAGCTATAAAGGGCCCCAAAAAATTACTAGTGTAAAACCATTCAAACGGGAAAACCAACAGTCTAATCTATATAAAAAACGAGAAACGAGAAACACTTATGAACCACATCAACAAACGACAACTACTGAACATCAGATTCCTGACTTAGGACAGGTGCAAACAAATGCAGCGGGTTTAAACGTTTTAATGGTACCAAACCTTCACCCTTTTTTCTGAAACAATAGTGTAACATCACAACATAGAAAGACACACTATAAAATATCAACTGAAATAGCTTAACTCAATCAAAGGACATATTAGCACCATTGAACATACACTGAACAAATCAATTTGACCTATGACACAATGTAAATACAAAATAAATAAACTAAGGGAAGAATAATAAAAGTAACATGTTATATCGGTAAGAAATGTTAAACAATTAAAGAAAAACAATATGCTCGAACAAAAATACCATCCATTTGCAATTTCTTTAAACACAGGTAAATGAAAATAATTTTGTTGTTAGGTATACCTGTACAGTACCAATAGAGAAAGGAAATATTTTTACAAAATAAATAATTTTGAATACAAAATAAATAAACTAAGGGAAGAATAATAAAAGTAACATGTTATATCGGTAAGAAATGTTAAACAATTAAAGAAAAACAATATGCTCGAACAAAAATACCATCCATTTGCAATAACTTTAAACACAGGTAAATGAAAATAATTTTGTTGTCAGGTATACGTGAACAGTACCAATAGAGAAAGGAAATATTATTACAAAATAAATAATTTTGATGTTCATAGTACGAAGTGAAAATTTATAGTTATACCAAACACTTATAAAAGCTGGTATATAGACCAGATATAACCCTGAATAACATTAAATAACAAAAAAGCAATACAATTAGTGTCAACAGGTCAAATAAACAAGAAAGTACGATTTGAGAGTACTCGCAGTTACTGACAGCTAGTTAAAAGCCAAACAATTAATAATAAAAAATCATGCATCAGAGACTAAAATCAACTAAAACACATCCCAGGGATTTAGTATTTTAACGTCATGGACAGTCAAAGAAGACATGACTAGTGCAATGCCAAAAATAAATGTATCGACAGACAGTAGGATAGTTAGAAGTTTAACCTCTTTAAAGATCTAAACGAACGTGGGTGAATCTTTATACATCCCACTTGAAAAAAATACAAATTTAGTTATGTTTTAATTTGCTGATGACAAAATCGATATTAGTGCCAATGTAAACTATATTCAAAGATCTAATTACAACATTGGTAAGATAACAATGCACAGTTGTTCAAATTCTTTTATTTAGCAACTCTTTCAGTTCTTATTCTACCAATTTTTGGAATGGCCAATTGTTCAACTATTTGGAACATTGTTTTTGATTGATTTAAAGGGTCAAAAGTTTATAGAAAACTAGCTGCCTCACAGACAATATATCCCATATCTACTTTAATGTAACCAGTTACAAACTAAAAATTTTATGAAATTGTTGGGGAATTTTTTTTTTTTCTCAAGGAAATGGTTCTCATATTATTATTAAGATAGTGATGTTATAATTTGCTATTTCAAACGCTGAAATTATATGAACTGTTCTACATTTAGAAATCACTGCAAGTTGTTTTTTATATAAACTGTCTCATGGATCCTCCATTAAAACATAAATGGGAGGCAGGGAAGTTACTTTGAAATCATTATGTCAAATTTATACTTTCTATTTATGAAACTCCAAAGTTGCCTCTATAGGTGGTTATATCTTTTTTCAAAGTGCCTTCCCTCGGAACCATATATGTTCCAAGGAATAGCCGAAAATAACCAATAAACATTATAAATAATAATCCTTGTCCAAATTTACTACTAAAAAAATGTTATAACAAAATTTAGCACTAAAGGCTAGCATTGTATTAAACTACATTTAATCAAATAAAATAAAACTACAGTCATCTATGTCAAAGTTGTTACAAATTTACAGAAAAATGTAACAAATTCACAAAAAAAGTAACAAATTAAGAACTTATAACGTTGATACTGTACCTTGGTCCACATCTTCATCCTCCTCATCATCATCTTCATCTAATACAACCACAGAGTCATCCATGTCATCATCATCATCATCACTAGAAAAAATCAATCTTCAGTTTTAAACCAGAACTAAGAGAACCATTTATAATTCTCTATTGATCAAGATTTTCATAACTTGCCAATGCTGACTGAAGTGCAGGATCAACAACAATATTTTTGAGGGTAAAGGATAATTTGTTTCTTTTCCTTTGGCAATGTTGTATTGTTTAGACAAGAAATGTGTGTCTATTAAGGCTTTCCTAACTATTCTTGTCTTTTTTGTTGTTCTTAAAAATGCCTAGCATCAAGCTTAATTGATGATTTAAATATTTTAACTATATATAGTTTAGAAATTTAAGATTGAATCTCTATCTTAAATAAAGAAATGTCAAATCTGTTCAATGTACTAGTAGAATCTATACAAAGTCCTCAACAGTAAAATGTACAAACCTGATTCCATTTTCTACTTCAATGTCTGATGCTAAATAGTATTGTAATGGATTGGGCCACATATCATCTTTGACCACCTGAAATATACATGATATATATCATTAATTAGTCTTATAAAATTCATTCACATGCAACTAAAAGTTCATTCTTTTTAAGGATTTTGTGACTATAAAAGAAACACAACACTCATAAATGAATTTTTGCACTGTCCAGGAAAATTAGACATAAAAACTTGCTTTTCAAGCATCATCTGGATGACAATCTAATCTTATCTAAACAAATCACTATTTGAAAGTATTTAAAAACAGCTGTTTAATATTCCAAATCAAATAAATCTTTTACAATGTTTTTTATGTGTAGCCACTATGCAAGACAAAATTATCTGAAATTATCCTGTAAAACAAAATTTCTGAAAGTTTTGTTTTATTTCAAATTTATTTCCACTTGACATTTATCATGTTTAAGTAGACGGTTAAAATCACCTGGAAATACACATTTTTTGCTCTTTTGGCTTTGTTAGCCTTAATTAAACATTGCAAAAATTTTTGGGATTAACAGTGTACTTACTTCTGCTATGTCATCAGCTGAGGGATCAGTATTGTCTTCAAACCACTGGAAAAAGCTTCGACTCTGACCTCGTTTTCTTTTCCGATTGTTTCCATTTTGTAATATTTTTGCTGATATGTCCATTCCATTTTTCCACTCAATTTTACTAGATTTTGAAGCTGGATCACCTATTTAATAAGGTTGAATGATTAAGCTCACTCTCCAAGAATTTTTTTAGCATATAACTTTGCTGTACTCCTGATTGTTTAGATAGTGTCATTGTGTATCCCAAAACATACTACAATGTATTTTATGCTTTCTTTTTTGTCATTATATTTTTTCACTTTATTCTTCTCAATCTATCATTATTATACCTAAGACATTCATTGTGTGTAATATATGGGCAATAATTTGGTATTCGGCCTTTGGTTTCTTTTTGTATCCTTTTTTTTAAGTTCTAAAACTTTAACTTTTATTCTGTGGGTTGTGTTGGTGTGAGAATAGTATTAATGGAACAAGTGGGTTTTTCGAGGAAAAATTAATCCATTTTGATTCACCGTTTTCGTGACAGGAAACCAAACAGGAAACAAAACTTTATTTTCTTTATTTTGCACAATTTATTTCAAAAGACATAAATGAACACCATTACTAGTGTTACTTGCTTCATGTTAATATTTAAAATCTATTTTCAATGTTAAATTAAGGTTTTTTTTAAACGCGACAGGAAACCATAAGAAACCGAAAGCATTTCTTTAGTTTTATTTTAATTGGAAAATCAGCTTAAAATAATCTGTACAGTAAACTGATAATGTTACTTATAACTTTGGTTTTTAAATTTAGGACTGTTTTTGATAATTTTTTCCAATAGACAATAAAAACTATGAGAATATAGAAACAAGGGCACTTTAGGATGTCACTATAATAAATTATTTTGGGCGCCGACTTGCATCTACTGATTTTGACTACCAATGTATTTTCTCTTGCTTTTTGTTATAATTCTTATACACTTTTATATGTAGCACATGTGCCTACAAACCCTTCATGCCCTTAGAAACCCAATGCAGTGTGGTAGATAGCTCAGTAACACAATTGCATGGTTAACACTTTGTGCTTATGCGTCACTAACCAGAAAATTCAAGCACTGTAAAAACTGGGAGATCTAGCTAGTGCTACTTATCTTATATAATGTACTTTTCTATAAAGGGCTGTTCCAGAAGTGAATGTATGGGGTGTTGGGAGGCACTTTCTCAGCTCTCACTTTTGATTCAATTGGAAAGATGCAGGACATTTTAAATTTCTTAATTTTATTGAACACAAAACTAAAAGCATGATCCAACAAACATATTAATGTTTTGAACATCCAATATGTGAGTGATGTCCATTTTATCCACAGTATAAGTAGTATCTTGTAACGTCCACCCTGTCCCTTGCTTTTTGTAAAATTTAAAATTGAGAATGGAAATGGGGAATGTGTCAAAGAGACAACAACCCGACCATAGAGCAGACAACAGCTGAAGGCCACCAATAGGTCTTCAATGCAGCGAGAAACTCCCACACCCGGAGGCGTCCTTTAGCTGGCCCCTAAACAAATATGTATACTAGTTCAGTTGCATGTTTTTATATAGATTAGACTGTTGGTTTTCCCGTTTGAATGGTTTTACACTAGTATTTTTGGGGCCCTTTATAGCTTGCTGTTCGGTGTGAGCCAAGGCTCTGTGTTGAAGACCGTACCTTGACCTATATTGGTTTACTTTTATAAATTTTGACTTGGATGGAGAGTTGTTTCATTGGCACTCACACCAAATCTTCTTATATCCAATAAAAGTTTGAATTGTTTTACGTTTGTGATTTTGGGACCTTTTATAGCTGACTATGTGGTATGGGCTTTGCTCATTGTTGAAGGCCGTACGGTGACCTATAGCTCAGCTATAAATTTCTGTGTCATTTGGTCTCTTGTGGAGAGTTGTCTAATTGGCAATCATACCACATCTTCTTTTTTATAAAGACAAGATTCCATATACAAAACATTATTTTGTTGGTGTATAGAAATTCAATGAAATCCTATATTAATTGTTTACACCCATTCATTACAACTGCTGGTAAATTACAATTAAGTACCATGGATTACAGAAATATAACCAAAAACCTCATATACCAAAAAGAATAGCCTAGTTTATTTCACTAAATTTCTTTCCAAAATTTGTGACCACCAATATATAAATCTGATTAAAAAAAAAATTCTGGTAAGTTGTTATTGGGCTCGTTTCTCTGAAGGTCACAAGTTTGATGGTAACTTCTTATCATTCAATACAAATTATGACGGATCTTCAAAGTCACAAGTCCTTAGATTAAACAGAACCCTAGTTCCTTTCAGCAAGGGCAACTGTAAAAAGCTTATTTTACATGTCAACATTAAAGTGACATGTTATTTCATGCAATGTTTTATGGCAAATTTGATATCTAGGTGAACATATTTTCAAAGCAAAATGTTACTTTTAAGTTGAAAAGAAAAGTGTTTTGATATATTGGCCATGCAGGCAGTGAACCGGCACTACTTACCTGAAGGGAAATTACACTTTTGAAAAGCTATGAAATTGTGACGCATACAACTGAACTGGATACAACATTGGCCGTTTCCGTGTATTGATTTATTACTGGCATACTTATGCATTTAGATTTGCATCTCTGGTTAAAGTCTGTCTTAAATGTAATAGTATTACTATTAAACTCCTAAATATGTGTTTGTTTTGAAAAAAATTAGTGCAATTTATTCAGAAATTTCAATGTTTTCTTTATTGATACAGGATACCATAATCGTTGTATCTTGATATTTTAGCCAAAAAAATGTATTTATTGGTTTTGAAATTCCAGTTTTATACAATTAATTCCAATGTCAAATTCCTATTAATCCAGTAAAGTAAAAAACTTTTAACTTGGAATTAAAATCTTATAATAGGCATCATGTGCTATCTGTGACCTGTACACCATCTACATGGTTTCCACATATTTTTTTGATAACCTTCTTTAGTGGGCTAAAATCGATAAAGTACTTCCTTTCAAGTCATGCATGGTAAAAGTTTACTTCTCCTTTGACAATATTATTGCATTTTTGAAAAGTGTTTGCAGAATATGATTAAAATTAAACAAAAAAAAAAAAATTTGTGACAAAGATACCAACTCTGTACATTCCAAGTGTAACGGTATATCAACATGTATTTTTTTTAAATTAACTTTATTTACCTAAAATATCAAGTACAATTTACTGCTAAAGCAAAATCAATTCAACGAGCATCGGCAGAATGATAAGAAACATAATGTTGATCGAATTTTCCAAGGACCCTTTTCATCTTTATCCGGAAACAAAGTGTGTTGTAACGTCCCATCTAATAAGAAATCGATTTTGTCAAGCCATTGGGCATTTATTTTCACTCAAGATCGTAGGTAACATTATGCACATAGGAAAAATAATAGATCCCCAGCGCGATCTCTTTGAAAATTGTATTTTCCCTTTTTAAACAATATGAAAACAGTCTACATAATATGCTTGCTACTATCCCGTTGGAAACAAAAACGATGCTTAGACCTAATATTTCATATACCCGGCCGTAAGCGCTTAATCACATGTTAGCCACACGTTTACGTATGACCGGAAATGATTTGGACTGAACGACAAAAACAATTTTAATAAAAAAAAGTAAATAACTGGACTTCTGTTTCGTGTGAAATGTAACGCATAACGATAACGTCATTTTCTAACTTAATTATTACGAAGAACAAAACTAGAATGTAAATAATCAATGATTTACCTGTTTGAACATCTCGCAAGAGTTCATATTTGCATATTGTTATGAATATTTCAAGTACAATAAAGCAGACTACACCATCTAAAATTTGCGTTACGAAATCAGAAACCAAAGTATCGCTACTTTTCTTACACCTGCTACAAAAATACTTAAAGTTCTCGGCAATTTCTTCTGACTATTCTTTTTGATCGATGTTCTTTATTATTTGAAAGCAAGAGTTACTATTTTGCAGGCGATGATTATCTTTAAATCGGGCAGCGTTACGCACTTCGGAAGCGAAAATAACGGTAAGAAACGACATACAACAGTGGCCTGATAAACTTAAACATTTGTTTATTTCAAATTCTCTCTAGGGGAGATTAGAAAGCACCTATATTTTAATAGAAATCATAGCATTTGATGGTGGAGCAACAATTTCTCTCAACAAAATACAATATTTTATCACTTTTCTATCATTATCGGAAACGGTCCCAATACCAAATTATTGCCCATATATGTTGTTTGTTATGAATCGTTACTTTGATCAGCATTGGGGGAAATGATCAGCTCAATAAAATATCATGCATCATACTGGTAATAAAGGATTAATCATATGATGTTGATTACTGTCTCATTGATATTTACCCTGTATATATCTATATTATAAGTCTAAAAAGTTATGGCAAATGGTCATCCTTTCAAGGAAGTAAGCTACTTTTGATTGGCACATATAATAACATTTAAAGTAGTGTTTTTTCATCTTTTTCTGCTTCAATATTCTTAAAGAGATACAAACCTGTTGTGGCTAAGTGGAATTCCTTCACAAGAACTGTGTTACTGAAGTATGGATTTGAAGCAAAGATAAAACTGATTTTATATCCTGATTTGATATCCTCAAATTCTTCTACTTCTAACTGAAAATAAAAACATATCTTTAATATTAAATCTGAAGATAAATATCTACATAAATATGAAGTTGTTATTTTTAATTTCTTTGTTGGTTCAGCAGTGTTCACTAAGCAAACCTTTGCAGTGGTGAATGTGTCTTGACCATAATGTCTTTATTTGAAATATTACAAAACAATATCAAATGAAGGAATAACTAAGTATAAAATAAAATAAACTATCCACAATCTGCCATTACCAACAAATTCTACAAATACAAATACTGTAAATTCACAAATTATTACAAGGTTTTCATTAAGTCAAATAATGTGACTGGGCAAGTATTGTAAACTTGCATTCTGATATATGATTCATATATATACATGTATGTATGGAGATTTTTTCGGAAATCACAATAACTAATCACACATTTTTGCCCATTCTTCAAAATTGCAATAATAAATGCACACAATAATTTCTGAATTTACAGTAAATAAATGGGGACTGTGTCCATGGGAAACAGATGATGCCCCTACTTGCATATAACGTTATAAAGGGACATAACTCATTGATCTGTGTTTTGTGGTAATAAGCATTGTGTATAAGTTTCATAACATTTGGTTGAGGCAAACTAAAGTTAGAGAACAGAAACCAATTTTAGGAAGTACGGACGGATGGATGGACATACAGACAGACAAGGGTAAAACTTAATGCCCTCTCCGCTACAGTGAGGGCATAAAAATACCAATATATATTATTAATATATGATATCAGACAACTACAGACTAGGTCCTGACTTATGTGGTTTAGTTAAACTACTTTATTTGACTCCCTATACTACAGACTAGGTTCTGACTTATGTGGTATAGTTAAACTACTTTATTTGACTCCCTATACTACAGACTAGGTTCTGACTTATGTGGTATAGTTAAACTACTTTATTTGACTCCCTATACTACAGACTAGGTTCTGACTTATGTGGTATAGTTAAACTACTTATTTTGACTCCCTATACTACAGACTAGGTTCCTGACTTATGTGGTATAGTTAAACTACTTTATTTGACTCCCTATACTACAGACTAGGTTCTGACTTATGTGGTATAGTTAAACTACTTATTTTGACTCCCTATACTACAGACTAGGTTCCTGACTTATGTGGTATAGTTAAACTACTTTATTTGACTCCCTATACTACAGACTAGGTTCTGACTTATGTGGTATAGTTAAACTACTTATTTTGACTCCCTATACTACAGACTAGGTTCCTGACTTATGTGGTATAGTTAAACTACTTTATTTGACTCCCTATACTACAGACTAGGTTCTGACTTATGTGGTATAGTTAAACTACTTTATTTGACTCCCTATACTACAGACTCAGTTCTGACTTATGTGGTATAGTTAAACTACTTTTTTTTGACTCCCTATATTTCACCAACACATGTTATTTGACAATTTCAATTTCTTTTAAAATAAAACTTACTTTGCTTAAATAATGGAGGCAATCTTCTTCTACGTCTTCTAGTACAGCAGAAATCTGTGGATGATTTACAAACTGAAAAACTGTTAAGGAATAAATTACCAAGTTGTTTAGAAAGATATGTAAAGAATGTTGTTTATATATGTATAACAGATTGTATTTGGTCAAGAACTGTTCAGTTTTTTATGTGTAACTGGCCAGGAATAATGTATAAATAATGAAAATTGAACCCCATGTGTGCAATATGATGCCCAACTTGGATGTGTGTCATCTGACACACTCAAGAGTTTTATGGCTGGACATATATACATATCTTTCTGATTTTTTGTGTTGCCATACAATAATCTTGCTGCTGCTTCATTGCAATGGGACAACTGGTATTTCAGCAAGTTAAGAAACATCTCTAACCAAGCAGAACAATACAAGAACAAAACATGCAGATGAACACATAAGAAATTAATTTGATTAAATCAATTAACATGATTAAGACTTTTGTTGTGGCAACAAAGGTAAAAAATATGATATTGGTTGGAGCAGTCAAATCTAATTATTTTTATCATTGTTGACACCTTTTTGATCAAATCCAATTACAGTTAATGGAATCAACTAAATTAACCATCTAGAATATATTTTTACATTTAATATGGATGATTATTTTCATAGTCCTAATATTAATTTGATCTTTTATATTTAATTTAATCACATTTTTGATCTTGTGGTAGCATGCTCACTTCAGGTGTTGAAGGTTGTGTGTTCAATCCCTGACAAGGTCACGGTTGTGTGTTCAATCCCTGACAAGGTCACACCAAACTTGAAAATTGGTATTTGCTACATCTTTGCTAAATACTTGGCATATATATGAATAAGAGCAAAGAATGGTTAGCTTTAAGTCAGAATAATGAGTCTGGAATTCAAGGGTATGAAACAGTCAAATTTGCCTGTCATGACTGAAACTGAAAACTATTTGTCCTTAACAGCAGATTGGGATTTAGGTCAAATCTTTTTTTTTACAGAAATAATTTGTCATTTTATTGAGATCTGGTTTCTAAATCGCCATTTAGCACTTGTTTTTGTTTTGTCATCCTCTTCCGGTTATAAAACAGCCACTCCAGAGTATATAGTATGATAATCCTGAGGTCCTAATAACCATAATAATGCCACCTGGAAATATTGGCTAATGATTGCTAATCACTTTTTACCTGTGTTTATACACCTGTCAGTGATCCCAATCTCGGAACTAATATAAAGAAATCAAAATTCCATGACAACTTTCTTCATTATTCAATTACTTTTGACAAAGACAATCATCAATTATGATTTGAAAATTAAAACTTGAAAATATTTACGTAGAAAAGGTATTTTTCAAGAGTCACATGTGTGCTTTATTTACTATGTAATATGCCTGCGTGAAATTGTCTTCACCAGATATGCTAGATTAGACACTTAATCATAAAATGCTAAATTATTTCATGCTAAATTAAACAAGTGCAACTATTGTCTGTTATATTCAAATACTTTTAACATGTTTAAAGGTACTAAAATTAATAAAATGCTCCGCAGGGCGCAGCTTGATACGACCGCAGAGGTCGAACCCTGAACAGGTGGGGCAAGTATGGACACAACATTCAAGCTTGATACAGCTCTGAATTTGGATTGTGATTAAATATTTGGCACAGCATAGGTTTCTGACACAGAATGAATGTGGTCTAATAACTTAAAACTTTTAAATTGGACATTCACCTATTATGGTCCAATATCCAAAATCTAAATACATGGTTAGATTCAGCATATCAAAGAACCCCAAGAATTCAATTTTTGATGAAATCAAACAAAGTTTAATTTTGGACCCTTTTGACCTCAATGTGGACAAAGTTGATAATGGGGCCCAAAAATCAAAAATCTAAATACATGGTTAGATTCAGCATATCAAAGAACCCCATATATTAAATTTTTGTTGAAATCAAACAAACTTTAATTTTGGAACCCGATTTGGACCAACTTGAAAACTGGGCCCATAATCAAATATCTAAATACATGTTTAGATTCAGCATATCAAAGAACCCTAAGAATTAAATTTTTGTTAAAATCAAACTAAGTTTAATTTTGGACCCTTTGGACCTTAATCATGTTAATGTAGACCAATTTGAAAATGGAACCAAAAATTAAGAATCTAAATACACGGTTAGATTCAGCATATCAAAGAACCCCAATAATTCAATTTTTGATGAAATCAAACAAAGTTTAATTTTGGACCCTTTGGACCTCAATGTGGACCAATTTAAAAACAGGGCCCAAAATCCAAAAACTTAATACACGGTTAGAATCAGCATATTAAAGAACCCCAAGAATTCAAGAATAAAACCTCATTGAAATTGGTCAAGAAATAAGCAATTTATACGAAGTATCTTCTTTTGCACAATACTGTGCAATTGAATATTTCTTGCTATTGCGCAATACTGTACAATTGACAATTTCTTGCTATTGCGCAATATTGTGCTATTGGATATTTCTTGCTATTGCACAATACTGTGCAATTGAAGATTTCTTGCTATTACGCAATACTGTACAATTGACAATTTCTTGCTATTGCGCAATATTGTGCTATTGGATATTTCTTGCTATTGCACAATACTGTGCAATTGAATATTTCTTGCTATTGCGCAATACTGTACAATTGACAATTTCTTGCTATTGCGCAATATTGTGCTATTGGATATTTCTTGCTATTGCACAACACTGTGCAATTGAAGATTTCTTGCTATTGCGCAATACTGTACAATTGACAATTTCTTGCTATTGTGCAATACTGTGCAATTGAAAATTTCTTGCTATTGCACAATACTTATTATATAATAATTTACACATCCTGTTTGGTGTGTATCTCCTACCATATCATTATTATTTGCTTTTAAATATAAAACAGAAATAACCAACTTAAAATGGAATATTTTAAAAGAAAAAAAAAGGAAAAAAAGAAAAAAAAGGAAAAACAAAAAAAACCCCCCCCCCAAATTTTTTGAACCCCCTTATGATTCATCACCCCCAAACTCAAACCCAGCCTTCCCTTTGTGGTATGGTACCTTGCAGTACAATTTCAGAGAGATCCATACACTTGAACACAAGTTATTGTCTGGAAACTAGAAAAATGCTTATTTTTGGCCCCTTCTTGGCCCCTTATTCCTAAACATTTTGGGCAATTACCCCCAAACTCAATTCAAGCTTTCCCTTTGTGATATGAAACCTTGTAGTACAATTTCAGAAAGAACAATACACTTACACACAAGTTATTATCATGAAACTAGAAAAATGCTTGTTTTTTCCCCTTTTTTGGCCCCTAATTCCTAATATTTTGAGGCAATTACCCCCAAAATCAATCCCAGCATTCCCTGTGTGATATGGAACCTTGTGGTACAATTTCAAAGAGATCCATACACTTGAACACAAATTATTGTCTGGAAACTAGAAAAATGCTTATTTTTGGCCCCTTTTTGGCCCCCAATTCCTAAACGTTTCAGGCAATTACCCCCAAACTCAATTCCAGCTTTCCCTTTGTGATATGGAACCTTGTAGTACAATTTCAGAAATATCCAAACACTTACACACAAGTTATTGTCATGAAACTAGAAAAATGCTTGTTTTTTGCCCCTTTTTTGGCCCCTAATTCCTAAAATTTTGAGGCAATTACCCCCAAAATCAATTACAGCCTTCCCTTTGTGATATGGAACCTTGTGGTACAATGTCAGAGAGATCCATACACTTACACACAAGTTATTGTCTGGAAGTTACAAAAATGCTTATTTTTGGCCCCTTTTTGGCCCCTAATTCCTTAACTGTTGGTACCATAACCCCTAAAATCAATCCCAACCTTCCTTTTGTGGTATTGAACCTTATGGTAAAATTTCATGGAGATCCATTCACTTAAACTAAAGTTAGAGTGCGAAAACCAATGTGTCTTCGGACGACGCCGGACGACGCAAGACGACGACAACGACGACGCCAACGTCATACCAATATACGACCAAAAAATTTTCAATTTTTGCGGTCGTATAAAAACCTCAAACAATTCAAGACTTTAAATTAATCCTCATTGAAATTGGTTAAAAATTTTGTATTTATTTTCAATTGAAGATTTCTTGCTGTTGTGCAATTAATACTTTGCTGTCGCGCAATACTTAGTAAATCTGTTTACAAACTAAATATAATAATTTACACATCCTGTTTGGTGTGTATCTCCTACCATATCAGTATTTGTTGTTACTTTATATAGATCAGAAATAATTTATGTCAGAACCAGCTTAGCCAGTATTAGAAAAGTCTTGTTTTTGGTCCCTACAATGTATTTGGCCTCTAAGTTTCCTAAAGAATTAAAGCCACAACCCACAAAATCAACCCTAACCTTCTGTGTGTGGTATGGAACCTTATGGTACAATTTCATAGAGATTCAATGACTAATACTTAAGTATTTGTCCAGAAACCAGAAAAACGTTGTTTCTCCCCCCCCTCCTTTTTGCCCCTTATTCCTGAATGGTTTGAGCCATAACCCCCAGTGTCAAACCAAACCTTACGTTTGTGGTATGGAACTATGTGTTTCAATTTCATAGCAATCCGTAGACGAATAATTAAGTAATTGTCCATTAACCAGAAAAACCTTGTTTTCCCCCCTTTTTTTTGCCCTTAATTCCTGAAAGGTTTGGGCCATAACCCCCAAAGTCAATCCCAACCTTCCCTTTGTGGTATGGAACCTTGTGGTACAATTTCATAGAGATCCATACACTTATACACAAGTTATTGTCCAGAAACTAGAAAAATGCCTTTTTGGGCCCCCTTTTGACCCCTAATTCCTAAACAGTTGGGACCATAACCCCCAAAATCAATCCCAACCTTCCTTTTGTTCTACTGAACCTTGTGCTTAAATTTCATAGAGATCCATTCACTCATACTAAAGTTACTGTCCAGAAACCGAATGTCTTCAGACGACGACATGATAGCAATATACAAACGCAAATTTTTTGCGGTCGTATATAAACTTAACTTTTAACCACTGAACAATGAAAATGAGGTCAAGGTCAGATGAC